AGTATGCGATATGTATTTATTTCAGAATTTCTTTTTCTCATGAAACTTATATGCCTTTTTGGACATATAATGTATATAAAAGTTCTACCTGTTGTATTCTTATTTAATGGGACTTAAAATTAGAGGAAAGAGTGTCACATTGTATATATGCCTACCCCTTCGGTGATTAAAAAGACCATACATTATGTATGTATCAATCTAATAAAAGAAAGTATGACTAACAAAAATATCCCCATGTATAATGGTTATCTTGAAAGAGAAATCACTTCAATTATTGACCTAAAGCCGTTACCGCCGCCACAGCCGACACAACGCAAGCATAAAGGCAAACATTTTGAGTAAATATTTACAAAAAATCTGCAAAAAGTTCTGTTTATGGCGTAAGTTGACAAACGTGCAGACGTATCTAGTGATGGTAAGTTAATGGCAGTCGCCCATGGACACACATAAGCATTTTGGAGAAAGGGTTAGAGTTATTACACGCCGATTTTCACTGCCCATTTATGCCAAATTGTAAGGAAAGTAAAGAAATCTATTATATTACATTGAACAACTAGATTCCGCCGGCGGCTTATGTGTTGATAGAAAGCAGCCTATGTCCTATTCCGGAGTGTGTCCTATGCCTGTGCCAAATTTCATCTAGATCCGTCGAGCCGTTTTCGCGTAATTGAGTAACAAACATCTAAACATCGTAACTTTCGCATTTATAATATTAGTAAGAAGTAAGATAATGTTCACGCACTGTTGTCTATCACGCCCTTGTAGACCACGACTGGAATATGCGTGAAACACTTTATCAATAAAACTATGCAAGACTTAATTAAAACTGTTCGTTTCTCAATACGTGCCTTGACTATATAGATAAGCATTACCTGTTCTTATCAAAAGATTAAGGTATTAAACCAAATTATATCTTGCATCGTGACTATTTCAATTTCGGAGTGCGATGTTTTATTGTTAAGTCTAGTTTTAATGTTACTATTAATTTCAGTGCATCCAGTGCAGTTGTTCTTGAAGTGACATTGGAAAAAATTATCGATCTATAAAGCTAAATATTGGTATCATTTTCAAAACTAAATTTCGAAAGGGAAAATATTTGTTTCACAACAATAGTAGTATTAATAAACTGATAAGTAGGTAGCTATGCCAAATTGTTTAAAAACAACATAAAAAATGAAATAACAAACACGTTGATAAGAAATGATACAAAAGAAGTATAAATAGACAAAACAAAATCCGTGCCCAAACGTTTAGAAGAAGAAATTGATTCCGAAACCTCTTTGCAAGACTAGTAACAAATCGATACGAGAGATAATTCCACCAAAACAGATAAGTATCGCAAAAATGTCGTTGATTTAGATAAAATTATTATTAAATTCTTTACTTTTATCAAAGCCTACCTTGAATAATAAGTAATAAGTTAGATAGTTTACTTGTCCTTTGAAGACGTTAATACTCGCTGATTATTTTATCGACTCGTTAGGGGACATCTTAATCAAAAACACTTTATTTTTGATGTTCAACTACGAACTACTACAAGAAGTACGTAGATATTTGATAAAAAAAAAACAAGTAATAAATAATAGGAATTTGTATCTTGTGAACGTTTACCGATACTGTTTTCCACACAACACAATCATTAGCTAATACAAAAAGATTTTGAAAGTTAAGTATACATATGTTACGAAAATATTCGTTATCTTAATCCAATATTTTACGAGTTATGATAAAATATTTTACTATAGGCCGAATGCTTAGTTATGTATATGCCACTGTTATCGATATCATGTGGAAATGAGTCAACTATTAAGCATAAAATGGTACAAAATGATAAAAAAAATTCATTAATTGCTGAAATATAATTGTGCAATTAGTGTGGTTTCCAAGCATATACCAGGAAAATGGACAAAACGTAGACACCACTAAATCAATGACGAGAACGAATATTCAGAGAAGGTTAGAGAGAAAAGAGGAAATATTATAATATCCTAGATACACTCTAATAAATAAAAGTGCATGATACGAGAAATATACCAGCAAACCACGACACAAGCAGCATTGCAAGTAATAACAGAGAAATACGAACGACCACTACCAATTACAACGGAAGAAGCAAATTGCTTGGTGTACGCCTACCTATACGTACAATGAGTGTTTCCTTACCCGTTTCATTAATAAATTACTAGTCGGCTAGCATACTTGATAATCTTTCATAGATTTACTGCATGCAAATCAAAGTGAATGAACAAGTTAATGCAGGTTATGAAGCCTCAACTACAAAAGCTTAAGTGAAATCCAAGAATTTTGAAAAAGACAAAGATTTTTTCCGCAACTTTAAAACTTGAATAACTAAATCTATTTTATGTTAAGCTCACGATAGTCTAGAGTAATAAGTAAGTATGTGGCAATAGTTTTCATAAAAGTGATGTAGGTACAAAACCATCAAACTCTCTAAAAATACTTTCACTTGACTAAAATAAAACTTTTCACGAGAACCTAGTTACGAACCAACATACCGTTATATCTGCGGACAAAACTCTGTATCAAATTGAACTGATGACGTCTCCATTGTAGATTATCTTAACCTTGTGTTTGAGGCCGAAGGCAAAGAATATCAGAGTGTATGATAGAAAAATGACACAAAATTGTAGTAAGACACTAAAAATTTAAAAAAATATCGATAAAAATAAATACCTACCTATATCAAAAAGTGGTTGAAGATAATAACTTATAATCGATGCTAAGGATACTAATGATAATAACAAGTCATCATAACTTTGTACTCAAGTAAGTAGGTAGTTTCTGCAACCTTGATTGAGAAGGATAAAGGTGTGATCTGTTGAAACGGCAATTACAATGTGGTAAACAAAGATGGAAATGGAGTTGGAATAAAAAATTATAATGGCCAATTCCGAAAATATTCGATTCGAACAGGATTCTTTGAAACCAAATCATACTAAGATTTTCGTTGCGATTTTATTAGACCTTTGACACTAAGTATTTGGCAACCAAAATGAAGATATACATCAAAGTGGTTTCCTCGAAGCAAATTATCTGCGAGATGAACGTAGAATTTATTAAGGATTTCGCTTTCGTGCTAAATGTAAATACATTAGTGGCAAACATTGCGCGGCATCCTCGATGGAGTAATCATTAACATAGTAGGAAACGAGGAAACAAAGAAATAATGGAATGGAAGCCTTTCCATGCAAAGGTGAGGCAAGATTCTTGAGTAAAAAAATACTTGTAAATTAATTAAACTAAGACCAAAGCAAAGTCTGACAAAAGAACAACGCCAAATAAAACTAGATACTTACTTGGCAAATCAAACTACTTGGTGATGTGAACAAGGAAGCATTTGTTAGCGAGGATATAAAGTTTTTTTGGTTTTTAATGATCCTGTTCCTTTTGTATTTATTTTTGTAATTAAATTAACTAAAACCTCATAAAGTCATCAAGTTTTTCTACTTCTTTAGGATTCACATAAAATGCTATTAATCCAAACAAGGAACGACATTTATTTTAATTTTATCTTGAAAAGCAAGGCGATCTACATTCAAATAAACGTGTTTTTGGAAATGTTTAATACAAGTATAAGTATGAAAGGAATCTTACATGACCGATAAAGCGGGTATCATAGTGGTAAGAGACGGGTTTGAGAGATATAATTACCTCGAAGATAAAGAGGAAACAAAAGGTAGTCTATATGTAGCTGATCATATAATTTATCTGTGTCTTGATAAAAAAGTTATAGAATTGCAATCTGCTTACAAAACATTTGGTCAGTTGAAAACAAGCTTCAAACAAACAAAAATAAACATCTATACTAATATTATAAAGAGGTAAAATTTGTAAGTTTGTATGTAGGAATCTGTAGGTATCTTTGGAACCGCTGATCGGATTGCCAAAATTCTTTCACTGATAGGTAGCTACAATGTTCCTGAGTGCTAGGCTATTCAACATCTCGCTACGATCAAATGGAGCCGTGCAGCGGGTGAAACAGCGCGAGAGTAGCTAGTGGTATATGAGGGTAAAAGAGCAAACTCTACTTCAGGATCTTCTGAAGGAAGCAATCGAAACCGCCTATGAACATTTTTAACGCAGATTTTCTAAGGCCGTGGTTTTACTCTGACCGGACGGGCCCATTCGTGTCCAAGCATGAGAATCGTCAGCCACTCACAGCCTAATGTTAAAGTTCATTAAAAGAGCGTTAATCTTAACAGTCCTCTAGTTAACCCATTGTACAACAATCATGCGATCAAAAGCGAATCCAAGATCACAAGTGGTCACCCCAATCCTCACAGTAATGAGGAAATAGGGATCCGAAACCCAATTTGTGATCGGTCCAAACAAAGAATTGCTGACGGGAAGAATTGTTTATTTTCTTTAAAAATATCAGTAACATTTACCTACATCAACATTACCTACTTTATTATGCATATTTACGTAGAATTATTCGATTGATTTCAATGTATTAGAATTATGCAGGTATACAGCACAATTACAAAACAACGTCGGTATTTTATGGGAAAAAATTACAAATTTCGTTGATCTGTTTTTTTGGCTTTTATGCGGTCTAAGGCAAACAAGTTTATTTGGACCTCGTATGCAAATATTATTTTTCTTTAAGAACCTAATTGAGACTACCTAATTATACATGACATGGGCAAAAAATGGCAGTCGAAGTAAAGATTTAACAGTATCAATATATCATGTTATTCGTGTTAGATTTTATTTCCATCTTAATAAATATAAATAACGGACGTAATCTTGAGTTTGAGGAAATATAAACATTGAGGTCATAGGTATATAGCGCCTCATTAACACGAACATAATTAATGATGGAGACATCGTCCATTATCTTTATTGTTATTTAAATAATTAAAATACACTTATTTACGTAAAAGGAATTAATATTGAAAAATATCGGATTGTTCATAATGCCATTGTTTAAAAAAACTGTTTTTCCAAGAAGTAGTTGGATATAGGAAAGTACTTACTGCTTTTTCTTCCCTCCTGCACTTTGTACGTGAGATCAGTGAACGCCAAATCCACTGGCGGTCTCTTGGGCAAGTGTGTGAGGGTCCTGTGTTGTGCCGGGGTGATGGTCACCTTAAGGCTCCCTTTCCTGTCGGATAACATCGGCTTAGTGTCCACAGGGCCCGGAAGGCACGATTCTTTGTCCACTTTCATTTTGAACAAAACACAATGAATTTTATTTAACTAAGAAACTCAGTTGGTCATTCGTACGTCACAAAGAAATAAGTGATTGCGATTGAAGAGACGCGCGTTTCGCGCCAAGACCGCGCGCGCACTGGTCGCAGCCGAGTGCTCAACTGAGCGCTTCCAGTCAGGGCCGCTCGAGGCGTGACGTACACTGATTAGCTATACGAGTTGTGAACTTTGCCTCTTGGTGTCCATACATCATATGGGCGAATGTTCGCAGCCAATGAACGCAACTTATCTATGTATGTTGTGATGAAAGAGTTTCCAATGTAATGATATCCTTGTCTATGTTTTATATGATGCAAAGGGGGTTTTTTGCAGTCATTGCTAACTAAATATAAGGATTTTAACTTGGAGTTTCTTATTGTGTTGTTCTATATAGACAGTATAGACAACTTATGTTTTGTTCCATAATGAAATTGAACATCAAATTAAGGTACACTTAGTATTTTAGAGATAATATTTTATACTCTATAGCAGTGGCTTTAGGTGGGTATTCAAAGAGATGTCGATCAAGCATATTGTAGGTTATTGGCGAGGTGTATTATATTTAGGAGAGTAGATAGAAACGGGCTGTTGCTCTTAGGTGGAGATTTGCAATTTTTTACGGGATGGGTCAGCAATCATGCATATGGTTCCCTTGATGGTAAGCAACTGGCAAGGCCTTAGACATAACACCAGAAGAGTTAGAAGTGAGTTACAGACAGGCCATTTCAAGGTTGTCAAGGATTAAGAGATTGAAAATTTGGGATGGGGGTAAGGAGTGGATCTCAGTAACCTATACATTTTATAGGTTACTGGACATTACTTATGACACAAACATGCCCAACATAAATGAGTTAGCAGAGTTTTGCAACATACATAACATTTGAAATTAAATAATCATCATTGGTCATATGACATAACATGTTTAACACCAAAACTGGTTTATTAAATGTGGAAACATTATCAAATTTAATGTGCAATTAACTAATGCACTCAACTAAGCAACTCCCACAGTTTGAACCGGTGCCTAGAAATTGTTACATGATATTTTATAGACTTCCTAAACACAAAAAAGGCTTTTAGAAATTGTACCAGTAATTTTGGAGATTAACACATTCAAACAAATAAACAAACTCTTCAGCTTTTTGATATTAGTAGAATAATACAAAATATTAGTATACCAATTATAATATTAGTACAATATATTAATATCATAAAGTTTAGAACTTTAGAACCAATACACTGGTTTTAATTGCAGAATTATTTTGTGTTGCAATGATTTTTTTCTTATAGAGCACACCAAAAAGTAAACTTGTAGGTGAAAACATGTGATATCATCTAGAAGTAGTATATATATTAATATAGACATTAGCATACATATGTTTTATGTTATACTTGTTTTGTGTTAAGGGGTTAGTTGTATTATTCTTTAATGCTATAGGTACTTTTTTTAGTATTATAAAAGTACTGCATTGACCTGGTTGGTTCTACTGTTCATATTAGAAACAGATAATGTGCAAGAAAAGATAATATCTAGAACTAATTAGCTATGAATTTGTATATGTAGATTAAACTGTAATGTCATTCAACTGTCTAATAATAAATATGTATACAAGTTTGAAGTTGATATAAATAATGTATAAAATGTAACACAATGGATGACTTTGTCTTCCTGTTTTACTTTAATTGGCCTATTTATGTCGTTGCTTTCGCCCACCGATGTAGCAAATTGAGATTAATGGTAAAAATATGAAATCTTTCTCACATTTACTTTCCTTTCTTAGGCCTTATTTGTGTTTCATTTTCCACTTGAAATATTGACACCAATGTAAGGGCGTAAGTTTATTGCCGTGCTACATTATGCAGAGAGTCATAATCACATCGCATAATGGGTCAGGTACCTACATAATATTTAGATACGTTGCAAAGAAACAAAGTTGCAACATACGCACTTATTTCGCAAGTAAACTTACCTCAAATTGTTGAGAATATACACGTTATCCATCCTGACTACTTCATAAGTCTACAGATGTGACTAACACTTGTATTCTTTTTAATTAAAACAAAAGATGAACGCTAACAACAAAATTTTAGATGTTATGTGTGAAATAGGCACATTATTCTGGCACATAAACTCACAAGTTACGAATACGAATAGTTACGATACGATACCTACTTTCTCCAGAATAAACACACTGAGCGAGATAGAGAAATATACTTGCACATAAACAAGAAAGAGAAAACGATATCATTGAGTGACACTGACAGCTGCCAGCTGTTAAAGTTCCTTTGTCAAAGAATATCAATACTTTTGACAATAATAGTTCGCTGATTGAAGTTAAAAAATAAATGCCTTAAATCTAACCATTTTATTTGAAAAAAGGTATCCAAATAAAGTTCAAAGTTACAAAATATTTTGTTTAAAATATATACGTCTTCATACATTGAACCAGAAATACAACGCATTTAAATTTTGCGTCAAAACAAAGCGCAACATGACGCTATCATAATTGCCAACATTTTGCAAATACTACCAAAATGGTAGAAATTACTTTGTCTTTAAGAGTACAAAACATATGATTAATTTCTATGAACTACATTATTTCAAGCCTATAAAGCGTAACGACAATAAAAGGTTAAAGAAAAACTAACACAATAACATATTGTACATTCCACGAGACGTCTGTTTTTATTCAAAGATCTTCTTTTTCATGACAGGGTGTAAGTACCTACTATAAAGTCCACGATTTTCAGAATCGCAAATGACTACAAAACAAGCATTTCGTGTATACTTCTGACAAGTATTGGAATCAACAAGGACCGGGCCCAGTGATCGACATTGATTTTTGGAACCATATCCTAAATATAATATGCTGAACAGTAGATATGTTTGTCTGTGTTATGAGTCTGTGATTCTGTAGTGTATCGGGTACACTACAGAATCAGCAATAAGATTGATTAGTATTTAGCAAATGTATTTGAAACTGACACCACCATTAATGTACAAATTAAAAACACACACACAAAGTATTTCAAAATTTATTGTACTTTTTGTGTAAAATAGTGCAGATACCTTTGAAGATTGTAGTTGTACACACATCTTTTAATATTATTTTATCTAAATTAACTAAAAATCGCGGGTTACTCACGTGAGTAACCCGCGATTTTTAGTTAATTTAGTATGTCTCACGATAGTTATTATAAAAACATTATTTTTATCTGTTTAACTATGGCTTTGGTAGAATTTTAACTGCGTTACGTTGTCAACTCTAAATAAAAATCTACCAAGTTGCCATGCCACTATTTAATGTCACATTGTCATTGTTGTGTCACCTTTTTTACGTAAATTTACGTCAAACAAAATTGAACAAAATAATGTGAATATTTAATTGAATAAAATATTGAATAATGAAACTGTGAAAAAATTCTTCTTGCGCAATATGGAGAGCGTTACAGTGAGTATTCTTTACGTGGTCTTTGTTTGGTAGCGTTGTTTATTGTTCATTGTTGTAAAATTATTGTTTCAGAATTTTTCTGTATCGCTTATCAAAGGTTTCATAGACAGCTTACGAGGTGTAACTGTGCTCTTATATTTAGACAAGGAAATCAACGAGCGTGCCTTAAGTCGCTCCCCGCCGTCAGAAGTTGAAAATTCTAAAAACAAACAAAAACAACCGAAAGTAAAACAGTAAGTTTCTCTGCTAAATTTATGCGTGGTCTTTAATGCAACACGTCAATTCATGTCCATATGTGTAAACATTAATAGTTTCATAAAACAGTTCATATGCTTAGCTTGTTAAGCTATGTTGAGAAAACCTTTGTTATATTTTAACATTTATTTAATTAAAAACCAAGTACCGGATCGTTTGTTATGTAAGCATTTATTCCTTGAAATGAAAACATAGAAGAAAAGTACAGACACATCATCCCATGGTATTTTGTTAATGACTTTTCAAATGTAATAGAATGTAAACCAACCACATGGTGGTAATTTTTTTTAGGTAGCCCTTTAGTAATTAGTCCTAATCAACCTCTCAGTATAAAATCAAAGACTCTTTTAAATGTAACCAAATCCAAACACAGAAAAAAAAATTATAAAGTTATTACTTAAATATAATAAATACTAGAATTATTATACTATAAAAATATAATTGTTACAGGGAATCAAAAGTACTTACACGAGTATTACAGTCATGTATTCTGAATGGATTTATATTTTTGCTTAGCATATTAATATTTGAATATGCACTGTTGCCTGCGGTTAAGTACTTAGTTACGGTAGTGTTTGGTCACAACCCTGGAGTGGCGCACAATGTCTGGGCATGGATGCAGCCTTTCCTTTCCATGACCTTCCGGATGATATGGGTGCTCCCTTTGTTCCTGTTAAGTAAGCTAGTCAACAGCTTGTGGTTTCAAGTGAGTATTTTTATATTGTAATAGCATAATATAATCTTCTTTTTGCCCTTAACTCAAGGCATTAAAGACTAGGGTGTTAATGTTATAACATTTAGTCAACAAACCTGATTTCTAATCTGATTTTGATACAAAAAAACCCTTTTGCACACTAGCTGGTTTTGCGTAATAATTGTATTTTTTCTGTAATTGTTCTATCACATAAAAACTGTTAAGACAAACAAATGGATTACCTGATGGTAAGCAATCAGCGTGTTGAAGTTAATATTTGTGATGAAGTATTGCTCCTAACGTTTAATAGCATTCTGTAAATCAACATTGGCAGTTCATGATATCATAGAAAACAATATAAATACACATAAAAATCTGAAACAAGCATTAAATTAATTATACAATGTTTTTTTATTATGCCAATAAACTCCTTACATTATTTATTTACTTATGTTATAAAGCATTTAGTAGGTACTCAATACATTGTAACACCTTCATGCATAAACCCAAGGTTTTTGTTATACAAACTCATTGGTAATTTGTTCTTTGAATTAATAGAAAACCTAATAGTTTTTCTTGGAATTAGAAGTAGTTGACTATTTTCGTTTTTTGTTATGTTTGTGTTCGGTTGGCAAACAAGCAGACAGATTACCTGACGCTAAGCAATCGGCGCCGCCCATGGAGAGCGTTGCTGGCTTTATAGGGATAAGGGTTTCGGATATTTAAGGATTGGGAAGTGATGGGGGCAGGGAGAGGGATTTGCATCTAGTAACCTCACTCGCACGGCGAAACACAACGGTGTAGTTGTTTCACGGCGGTTTTGTCTGAGGCCGTGGTATCACTCCGGTCGAGCCGACCCATTCATGCCGAAGCTTGGCTCTCCCACACTCCTTAATCACTATTTTGGATTCCGTTCACCCCTAATGAACCTCGTTGTTGCGGTGCAAGCACAATAACATACCGCGACCCTGGCCAGGAACAAGAGACTGGTCCTTCTCCACGATTAGGTACCTATTAGTCAGTGAAAGTCTGATACCCACACTCGCCTCGCCCAAGCGGGAGAAATAATTTCAAAATATCTCCCTTCAAAAAAATACTTCTCCGGCGTTGCGGGTATCCGTCATGGCTGATGCTTAACATCAAGTGTGAATACTCATTAGCCGAACTTAGCCATAAAAAAGCGAGCTAAAGTTTGTGTTTATTTGTCTAGGATATTGCGGACAGCGCCTACCGCCACAGACGTGGGCGGCCGCAGTTCATGTCGAGCGTGAGCAAAATTATCGCCGACTCACTCTTCAGTCTGCTGGTGCAAGCCTTATTTTTAGTACAGGTAAGACAAGAGTTCACACCGCGCATCAAGCTATACTTAACCAATTTATCATGTTCTCGCCTTATATGATCTTCCCCCGAAATCAAAGGTCAGCTTATACTGGTTATGTAAATCTTTGCTTGTATACATTCGGATTTTGTCTACCACTTTTTCAATTGTTATCGTAACAGCTTTTGCCTGCTATTCTTGTTATGAAAAGTTGCGGTAAATTCGCATAATGCTCTCCTAGGCTTGTAGCCTCCATGCTCCACAAAAAACTTTTTTCAAGTTACTTATGAGACTGGTTAATATATTTTTTATCACGAAGAAAAACAATTGTCGATATAAACTTATGTTTAAAATATTGGGTGACGTCACCTCAAGAACCAATTAATACTTAAGAATGACGTAGTGATCTCCTAAAGTTAATTTAATTATTTTTACGCGAAGTTTACCGCGTCGTGTGTCGCGATTCGCAGTTCACAAATAAGCCGATAAACATATTTAATTGACAATCTTAGTTTTTTCGTCATACACGTCATATTAACTTCCTGGTGAAAAAGACTCAACTTCCACCAGCATATACAAAGAACCGCACTTACAAAAGTTAATTACGTACAATTTTATTACTTTTAGTACTTTACTTGCTGTAATTTGTTTGCTTTTGATTTGTTTTTTTTTAAAAAAACGTTGCCCCCCACTAGGATTTTCGCCTGTATCGGAAGTGCGTTTACAAACATACAATTTCACACACAAAGAGTTGTTCCGTGCGGAAATCCGCGACACTTTGCACCAGTTGCCCAGCCACCGCACCAACCGCAGTCAAATTTTAGACTCCTCATTCCAAAACCCTTTCCTTTCAGAGTATGTTAGTAAGTATGCTTCCAATAACGTACATCGGTGAGCTTCTGTGCCTCGTTCACATGTGCCTGCTGTACTCTCTGTACTCGTTCGAGTACAAGTGGTTCAACATGGGCTGGGAACTCCACAAACGGCTGACTTTCATCGAGTCCAACTGGCCATACTTCCTCGGTTTTGGACTCCCACTCGCCGTACTTACACAGATACCACAGTCTTATATTATTAGGTAAGTTTCTTTTTCTATATATCACCAAATAATTCCCTGTCTGTGTATGGGAAAGTCAGTCTTACTAAGTTAAAACCACCCTGTTCAAACGTTACCTCCGAAAGCCACTGTAACTACCAATATACTGATATCAAACAGTTTTTATTGATCTTTCATCACAGCATGTGTGAATGATTATAAAATATGTACAGTATACGTATTATATTTATAAAGCTGCTTCCTATATTACTGGCATAATAAAATATCTGTGACTCTTTCTAACTATTTGTTCTTACAATAATAATTTTATAAAAAAAAACCTAAACTTCGTAGCAATATTCATATTAGCTCGATAATCAAGCAGAAAGTTTTCAACTTGAAATATGAATATGAAGAGAAGGCGTAAATTAATTAAACGTAATATTACAAACTATAAAATGACTATAAGATAACACGTAATAGGCATAGATAAGACTGTATTAATGTGTGTCGATCAAACACCCATTTACTATCATGAGTGATTTAAATATTACTTGTGTTTCACTCCACTGCCGAGCAAAGGTCTTTTCTGACACAGAAAAGGTATGAGCATTAGTCACCACGGTAGCTCATATGAATTGACGATTGCAAACTTAAATATAATTAGAAGTTATAGGTCCAGGTTTCCTCACAATACTTTTCTTCACTTTAAATAATTTTAGAAAGTATATATCACTCGCCATGATTATTAAAAGTCACATTGATACTAACTTGCTAGGTTTATAAAATGCCCCTTTAAACGTGAGAAACATTCGGACCAGCCTTTATAATAATATTTTGTATATTAATTTCGTTTTACAACATGTTTTTTTTATTTTTGTTTCAGTGGTTGCGTGTTCTCAATATTCTTCCCAGTATTTATATTGAGCGGTAATGAGGCTACGCCCGTTTTAGGAAAGTAAGTGTACAATTCATAATTTAAAAATATTAGATCATTATATATAAATACAGATCTATGGTTAGGTATATAACCTTCGTGATAACATAGTCTTTTTCCTATTCTGTAAAGATTCACAACATCTTTTAAAAGGAGTTACAATAAAAAATACGCAAAATAATACCAGTCAATGAAATCCCACTCAATGGAGAAAAACAAAATATTTTGAATCATTTGTATATTTGTTCACATTATCATTTGCGACGCATTTATTATAATTCAATAATAATTATAAAATCAAGGTTAGATCCATACTTAATTAAAAACATGTCAACTGAGCAGAATTAATGTTTATACATTTTGAGTATTTCTTTAGATAACCATTTTGGAGTTCAAAATAATTTTAAAACAAGCCAACCAAAATAATTACCATTATTACTGGCTAACAAAATAAATGATTATTTTGTTTAAGTCGCTTCTCATTAAAATCTAATTTACTAACGAAATGGAATCAAATTTTAAATTGCTTTCTATACAATTTTTGTTAGATAAAGTTCTTAGTAAGATAAAAATAAATCCACATTGTTATGCGAAGCGAGACTGACTGGACTTTGGACATTTTGATCAAGTTACTGATAAAGAGAGATAGATATATACAGGTATTTAAATGTATGTTTTATTTTTGCTATACACGGGAGGTTTTACCTGAATTGGGATTTCTTGTTAATATCTTAGTCAGAATTGGGATACTAGTTTCATAAGAGTCTAGACTTTGTTAAAAAAAATCTATTATAAGTGTGGGAGAGCCATGCTTCGGCACGAATGGGTCGGCTCAACCGGAGTGATACCATGGCCTCACAGAAAACCGGCGTGAAATAACCAAAGCGTTGTGTTTCGCCGTGTGAGTGAGGTTACCGGAGGCCCAATCCTTACCCTCCCCCAATCCCTCCTCAATCCCTAAATCTCCAAATCCCTAATCCCTAAAAGGTCGGCAACGCACTCGTAACTCCTCCGTGCGAATGTCCATGGGCCGCGCTGATTGCTTACCAACAGGTAATCCGTCTGCTCGTTTGCCGACCTATTACATAAAAAAAACTTTTTTTATTTATAACACATACTGGGTCAAAAACAAACAATAAAGATCTACGTTTCGTTTTAACCCTTGCGCTTTTACCATGATCAGGCAATGGTACTACAATATACTATATCTAAAGTGCATACTAGTAGTTATTTAAAGACGTTTTTTGCACGCAAGTAAATATTTTTTGAACTTCGAGGATTCTAACTAATAGTAAATTACAATAGACAAGCTTAAAAGTGCTTTTCATTGTAGTCGAGTGTTTAACTTTGTAATTTGTATTCAAACAATGTACAACTGTACCTTTACCCACATGAACTCAATTGTTTATTGATAGGTCTTTTTGGTGGGTGGTAAATCATCAATGACTTCTTGTGCCCAGGGTGGGGTGAGAGAGAGTACCTATCAGACTCTTGTACTGACTAAAAACCATCTCGATCCTTCTCCTGCTCCGGGACTAGTCCGCGATACATAATTGCCCTTACACCCGCTACACTGGCGCACTATATAGCACTTAATAAAAAAATTTTAGCTTAGTATAAAACCACATTATCATAACAATAATACCTAAATATTTGTTCCAGTGAATATCCTCTAAGGCTTTTCTCGCCAGTGGTGGCTATTTCAAACGGAATGTTCCGTTTTGTTCGTCAAGGAGCCGAAGTAGTGACCCAACGGAACAGGTGACTGCCAACCGACACTCAACTAAACTAGTATGTTACACTATAAAGGGTGGGGAGTCAGGGTTGTGCAAAACTTGGTAATATTGTGATGAGGACATTATTTTAAGCATATACCTTTTTACTGTGAATGTTCGTTTGAAAATATTAGGTGTTGCAAATTGAAAAATTCAAAATTTAATGTGTATTCGAATTATTTTTTCTCGTTGATATTGGCGAAATTCTTTTTGTATCTGAATTTAAATCTGGAATTTTAAATATACCGGTTTTTTCATATTTTTAATGAATGTCAAATCACAATCTTGTCGTTGAACTGGCTTTAAATGTGATTCTAGGATTAGAAAAACACAAATTATAATATGTCGCTGATACTTATGTACCTAATCAATAATCATGTTGTTATGTATAATACATTATTTTTTTTATTATTAAATCATCACATTTACTTTGTAACTAGTCAGTTCGACTTTATTTTAATGTTATAACTTTTGTGTGATAAAATAAAACGCTGCTTATAAATAAAAGTTCCGTTGTGACTTGAAAGTATTAGAGCTTTCCTCAGTTACAATACCGCCAACGTATCTTGGCGAGACTGAAGTTAGCCGTATTAGCGTTATCCATTGCGCAGACAAACGGCTAACTTCAGACTCGCTAAGATACGTCGGCCGTACTGTAATTTATTTGAGTAGGTCTCTATTTCCAATAAAAAACTAATTTTAGCTAAATCTATACATTTTGAGTGACCATCGTCGACCGATCATTTTATTTTTGTTCCAAATAAACATTTTTATTAGTAAATTAGATAAGAATAAGGAAGATAATCCTAGGTCTTCTGGTTCAGCTACTAGGTAAATACGAAATGCATGCTAACTTAGTCTTTAAGTAGCTCAATTTGAATTCATATATCTAACATCTAGCTAATAATAGAACCGATCTTAAAGTTTTAATAATGCCAGAATATTGCAAGTTACATAATTATCATAAGGATTTTATAACTTCTCGTACAACAAGCTAATAAAAATGTTTTTTTTTTTTTATTATAACGGGAAAGGAATATGTCTGCAAAAGTTTATTGAGACAATTCAGTGTTTTTATTTATTCAATGTTTTGTGGCAAATTATATTTTATTAGCGTAGTACAATATTTTTATATTAGTAAAGCCAAAATACATATATTTTGTAACCATTCCCAAATATTTAAATTGTGGGGTGATGTATAAGAATGGTTTATAAGAGTTGTCGATTTTGCGCTCTTCTGATGGCGCTAGTGAGACTTTTGGTCCTATGACTGTGTCAATTGGACCTTTGAAGAAGATTTTCCTTACTTTGAAGATGTCTATATATATTTTTAGTCCTTTTTTGCGGAAAAATTTATGTCATGTATGAATTAATAGATAGATAGGGTCTTATTGCACAACCCTGTAGGTGACTGAAGGTATTGTGTTGTCCAAAATATATGTTTCTATGTATATTGTGCTCATATTATTGTTCGCGTTGCTCATTTTGTTATCGAACGGGGAGGGAATTGAGTGACTATCCAATATTTAAGAATTAGTGTATACCTAATGCATGCAGCTATATTTTGTGTAAGCCATTATCATCTGTGTTTCATGTTAGTAAGGTTGTAAATCGATATTTCAGGTCGTTCGTTATATTTTTTCTACAAATACTGATTTTCCAATTTACTGTAAAGTATTTTAAACAAATTTTTACTATAAGGCAATCGTAATATTAGTGGTATGGTCTGCTAAAAATGATTCGAAAAACCGACACAGATAATGGTGGCTTCCTCTTTTATATTATATTTTTCTTGTAATTTTTTTTATAATATTGGATAGTTATTCAAAAGTTAAGTTTTATATTATATCAAATGGTGCCTGGAATTATAGAAATGTTTAAACTTAAAAACGTAAATATGAGTAATCGCTTCGTTTAAGGTGTAATTATAGTTTGTATAACCAATAATTACAATCATTCTCATTTAATTAGATATGTCTGAAATTGTGATTGATTTTTTTTACATGACATTATTTATAAACGAACTGACTGATATGTGAGTGTTTTATTTCATTCCTATTGTGCATTTAAAAATATTTTATTTTATTATAATATAATTTATCTTGACTTGCAATAAGTCGGCAAACGAGCCTGGTGGAAAGCAATTGGCGCCGCCTATGGACACTTGTAGTAATACCAAAGGTTTTGCTATGTACCTCTTGCGGGTTATAAGGGATGTAATGATAGGGGAATTGATTATGGGGAGGGTAAGGATTGGGCCTCCGATAACCGCACTCGTATATCCAAACAACGTCAGTGTGGCTCGTCGCGCGGGTTTTCTTTGAGGCCGTGGTATCACTACGGTCGAGGCGGCCCATTCGTGCCGAAGCGTGACTATCCAACACTTATGCTAGCCTTCCTATACAATTTTTTTTTTTGATCTAACTGAACTTTATGAAATATGGAATCAATTCTTTAAAATAACGCTATAAACATGTAGTATAGCGGACAGATTCGCCTGATCAGTTTGATTTATGTTTTGAACACTGCAAACAAATCTAACACTTGCGATTTCTGTCATCAACCAAATATATAAAAAATTAAAACTACACATGGATGTCACATAAATAATATATTTATTTTAAAATTTAAATTCAATTCATTCACCAACATTTATCACAAGTTTACATATTCTCTAAGTTCACATCTGGCTAGCCGCTAGAGCACTGCTTGCTATTTACAACATAGCTGCATTTGTGATATATTAGGTACGATCCTGATAATTTACAATGCTATCTTTCACGAAGAAAATGCACGATCAGGAAAAATTCTATAATTTCCTTTTTGCAATATAAGTAGGACCAAAGAATAGGGTTCTCTTTACAATGGGGTTACAGAAGAGGCATTTCTTCTGGCTCATTTACTGCCTTCAACAGCCACTTTGGGGAAGACTATTCTATATCATCAAAAACCTAAATAAGTTTTTGTAATTTATCAGGACTGGACCTGTCTATGTGCATTCAAAATATCTATCTAACGATTTGATTATGTAACAGATATGATTTAAAAAACTACTGTTCATTACAATATTTATATTTTACTCAATAATATGTCATACGATGTATAATGATAGTATACTTAGATTGTATTTCACAAAATTGACTGAAACAATTTTTTTACCTCTGCATTGTATGAGTAAGTATTTTTATTTAAAAAAATGGCATTATTTAGTTTCATGGGAAAAATACCAGTAGGTAAACTGAAGCAATATAAAATTATACATATTATGGTTATATAAGTACTTAGTCGGGTCATAAGTTCTGTCACAAACTTTTGATGTAATAACTTATACGCCTTTTGACAATTATTTAAAAATTATATATGAAATGAAAGGTCATTAAATGTACAATATAATTTTATTTACATTATTCGAAATGCCCTCCCCCATTTTGAACACATGCCCTTAATCTACGCGGCCAGTCATCGATCGCTGCACGCACCACATTCATATCTATGTCTGCCGCTGCTTTAACCAGAGATGCTCGGAGAGACTCCAAATTCGGGTGAGGTTTAGCACAGACTTTTTCCTCCAAATATTGCCATATCTTGTAGTCCAGTGGGTTTAAATCTGGACTAGAAGAGGGCCAGTCTTCATGCCGGATGAAGTCAATTCCACGAGCGATCAACCAGTCTTGCGTACTTCGTGCCTTATGAGCCGGTGCAGAGTCCTGTTGGAATATCCAATGCCTGTTCCTGAACATTGTCTGAGAAAGAGGTTCCACTATGTTTGTTAGGACAGTATTTTGATAAACTTCGGCACTAGTTCTCACACCTTTTTCACAGAAAAACACCTCAGTTACGCCTGAATATGAGACTCCAAGCCAAACCATGAATGAGGAAGGGTAATGCCCACGCTGGACCCTCGCAATACGCGCGCTTGCTTCTTCACTGCTGTGGGCATACACCTTATCATTTTGTTTGTTAAAACTTTCTTCAATAGTAAAAATTTTTTCATCCGAAAAAAGAATTTCGCGGTATTTTTTTCCCGCGTACCGTCGTAGCAAAGCGCGGGATCTGTCTAGCCTAATTTTTTTTAAACGCTCGTTCAAAAAATGTCCTGTCTTTTTACGATAAGCTCGTAGTCCCAGGTCTTCATTTAGTACTCTTTTAACAGTGGTTCTGCTTAGCCCCATCTGCAGAGCTAGGATTTTTTGTTTACGTACGGGATTTCGTTCGATTCGCGCCTTCACTGCTTTGATGACCTTATGTGTCCGAACTGTGCGAGGTCGGCCGCTTCTCTTACGATCTTCGAAGCTTGACTCTTCGGTGTATCGTTTGATAGTACGATAAACAAACCGTAACGTTATTTTCAAATTTTGAAGAATATTGAAAATGTCTTTTGGCGCGTAACCACAGCGGTGCAACGCGATAACCGCGATTCTGTCTTCTTTATTCGACCACTCCATATTTAAAAATGAATAAAAAATAATTTCTTTTTTATTTTCTACAAGCGCGAAAGTTCTATTTTTAAAATAAGTCGAAGAATTTCTGGCCAGTAATCGAAAATTAAAAATATAAGGTTTTGACAGAACTTATGACCCGACTAAGTATATATACATTTCGCAGTCAATAAGCTTCAATCACTTTATAAAAAACCTCTTTAGTAAAAACTAGCTTTAGCTATACAGGTTAACTCTAGATTCTCTATAACATGACTGTAGGTGTTCATTTTAAAATTAATATGGCAAAGAAGTTTTTTTTAAGTCGGGTTCTCAAGTCTATAATTTTGAAAGAATTCTTACACCACAGTTTGTCGAAAGACAAACTTGCCACAGATAATTTATTGACTGCGATAGATACAAAAGTAACAAGTAGTTTTTCCTACAAAATATATAACTGTTTACAAGCCGTAATAAATTTTGTGACCACGAAAAGCGAATTTTCAAACGTACTATCACGCAACACTTATACTAAGCAAACTTAATAGATAAAATGCGTAACAGTATTTGTGGTAACTTGTTATTATTATTATATGACATAATTTTAATATACAACACACAAAACACACTAATTCACATATTATAACACAGTTAAATAATCAAAGCACCTATATGGGATAACAGCGCAGAATCAAAGCCATTTTAAACACATGGCAAAGCAATCTTTATCACCGCATAGTATGGCCTATAATTCTAAAGCACCTCGGTGGAATTTGAGGCGATTACCCCTTTACAGATTTTTGTAGGAGTATAGGCTTTACTTTGCAGAGATAAGGGTGAATTTTCTTTGAGATATGACCTAAAGGCTTTAATTCTGCGCTAGTATTTTAATAATTAAGATCAGATACAAAATAATTTTTCTATATACAAAAATTATTAATATTAACCATACATATTTTTAATATAAACATCGTGTGATAAGTTTACTGAAAATACAAACTTACTCACGTGAAAATAACTGAGAAAAGCTCAACTAGTTTTCATGAGTAGCGTTTGACGTTGCAAATCCTACTATTACGTGTGTAAAGCATTATTTCCAGTAAAGTAACTACACATACATACAAATTCCTTTTGGTACAAAACATGTTAACTTAACCGTTTATTTGGTATACTTAAAATTATACAATTAATATCTATTTGAGATCTATTAAAACATTTTCCGGTTTGGTAAATAAATGTCAATTATTAGGAATATTTGAAAACAATGTCTGTTGTAGAAAACATCGTTTTTCATAAAAAAAACTTCAGTAATAAATAATATGCTTACAACATGATTTATTTTCTTGTCTATGGGTTATTATATTGCTTAACTTTAATTGTTTCAGATGTTTATCTGAAATAAAATGACAGTAACAAAGCAAAAAACTATCAAACCAGAATATATTTTGCAATGTAGTATCGAAACATGCCAATAGATGGCAGGGTTAAGATTGTTTATCGCTAAAGTTGCCAATGCAAAATAAATGACTGTTTACATTTTCCTAAATAGCATTTGATAAGTACAGCTTATCAAATGCTATAAAAAATCATTATTGATATTTGAACCAATCAAACATACAAGTATAAAACATAAAACCATCACAGTCATCATCAATCAATCAATCGACTAAAAAACAATACAATTATATACAAGTAATTAAATTCTTAATTAATATTTAATGTCACATAATAAAAGCTAAAGGCAGGTAACAATAATATCGGAATGTTATATTTTTAAGGATAAATATGAAATTGTGATATCTGACAATAGTATACTGATAATGAGATGAAATAGGTATGTCTTTTTGAAAAGAACATTATAATTCCAAGAAAACCAATGCAATAAATTCTAGTGTCATTTTTCTTTACGATCAAGTTGAATTATTGTTAAAAATAAGTCAAGATATATTCTTTTTTTTCTGTTTCGGTTATATTTTCTTAAACAGATCGTATCTATTTTATTTTTTCTGGCATTGGTCGGCAAACTAGCACGCGGATCACTCAATCGTAAGCAATCGGCGTCGCCCACTAACTCGCGTAATACCAGAGCAGTTACAAATGTGTTGCCAGCCTTCGGCATCGGCATTTGAGGATTCAGGGGTTGGGCATTCAGCCTATATCTAAATATTAATTACGTATTTCACAATAGTATAGGCACCGGAGAAAAAAAGAAATATTTAAAAATAAATAAAAATTAAATTAAGGTCTTATCTACAACAAAACAATAAAGGGATTTTAATAATAGTATGTTTTGCTTGAGTTTGTGGAAAATGTTCTTCCTTTACTCTATTTCATGAACTGCTTCCAGAAGTGAAGCCTTGTAGAAAGTGGGCATAGTTAAGCCCAGACACCTGACTTTCTAACCAAAAAACAGATTACTTCATAATGGCGACCAAGAAGCGAATATGTCAGCGATGTCTAAACAAAACGCTGCTATAATAACAATAAGTTTCTTGTTTTGTTTCTAAATATATATAATAATAATAAACAGATATAAATAATAATGTCAAAATCAAAGATTGATGCACAGCTTTGTTAAATTTTTGGCAATAGTTACACAAATAAATCTGTACAGATTAGTCTATTATTTAAAATATTACTAAATAAATGGGACGCTATATCGAGTATTGTATTACACATAATAATTCTAATAGTACCGAATAGTTTAGACAATTCTTCGAAAAAATCTGTAAAATTAGCAAAACTTTTTTCGCTATGAAAAACCATTAAAAAGTCGACATACGTATGATGTCCTTGATGTAACTTTCTGATTACTTTGAAGGTACTACAGAAGTATTATTCGAAACAATTTCCTTTTACAAAATATTTCGAAAAATTATCCTTATTTATGACTGAAGCGAGTACCGCTCGCGGCCCATGTCCATCATTCAAGGATACATTTCAAGTACTAAACCCCGGATAATTATAATAATACTATATTTTCTTATATAAATAAAAATCTGTGAAATAATGTTACCATAATTAATAGCCAGTATTGGTAGGTCAACCTTTAGGTTATTGTTTTTTTTTTTATTATTCAATGCATATTTTTTTACATAATGTGTTTGTTTTTTTTTTATTTTACTCATATTAAACGTTTGACAGAAACGTTGTCAATTGAATAAAAATTTAAAATAAGGCATATGTCCAACTTAAAAATGCGTCATAATAATTTAAAAAACGAAAAGTTCCATATATAATGCAATTAAAACATTAATAAATAAATAAAGTACCGTCTGGCACCAAAAACAGCTCGACAACATTATTTCAAAGACACGATACCTCCATTTCAACTGGGTAATTAGTTTATAGTAGATGTACTAGGACCATGCCGAAACCTGCGCCTGCGCATAATCCGACGCTCAGCATCAGAGCTATTATACTTGACGCCTTCTCACGTTCATGTACCTCTACCACCCTGAAAAAAAAATTAACAATTTGTAAATATTAGGCAAACATTTTCTTCCTAAAAATATTTAATTTTATTATGTGAAGTAGTACTAGGGAAGTTATTTCAGTTATCACTAGGATAAGGTCCAATTTTTTTTCCTTGAAAACCAAATACGGTAATTGCCAAACTAGCCAAATTCCATATTTTGATCCAATTGTCAAAAACGATACTTTTCTATGAAATTCCTATGAAATAATATATTCATATGATATAAATATAATAAAAATATAGTGTATCGACAGATCGATGAATAATAGTTATTTTTATTTTTATTTATTTAACTTCTTATTGTATTGTAACGTCGAAATAATTTATTTTTGAACTAGGAAACTACCCAATTAGTGGATCTAGACTGCATAGCTCGCACAAAGACTGTATGGTGAGAACTATGGAAAGATTATGTCACTTGCCGAAACAATATCCTTAATTACCATTCGTGACAAGTCTCCCAAGTAAATACCTGCTGACGATTTTACTTCCTACAGTAAAACCACAATCTCATTCTCATTACAACATGGAAATACTAATTACCTAAAAACAAGGCAGACTTCACAACTATGTATAGCGTTTTCCATTATTTGTCATAGAAAGCAACGATAACCTAGTTAACAGGCTACATAGTGCACACATTCTAGGCGAAGGGTCATGTTGATAGCTAAACACTGTCTGAGTCACGTGTGTAGAGTTAGAATGTTGATCAATATGTTTAATATTGGTTTACAATGTTATTAAAACTGTCTGTCTTCCATAGCTAATTTAAATATGATGGAGTATTAATTGCAATAATCGCTTTACCTTACTAATACTAATAGCTAAATAAATTTGGAATAGGTTAAAATGTAGACCTATTTCCTCAGAAGAGAAAACAGTCAAGGTGTATTTCAAAATGATTACAATTATTTTTCTGTGTGTCATTTTATATTTATAAATCAATACAGCATCAGCAATCAACAGAATATGTAAATGTTCCATGCACCGCATTTTTTAGAACATCATCAAATGACTCTTCTCTTTGCCTAGTTCAAAATAACCCCCGTTCCTTCTCAAGCCGAGACCGCAGCCTATAAGGCTTTTTATGTATCTGTAGATAATACTCAAAACCTACCTGGTAGAATTGATCATCACAATGTTCGTGAGGTACCCGTTGCTGAATGCGAACACTATCATGATGATGATGTACTCCCAGTCCCATAGGAACAGAACTGGAAGGTAGTTGCGGGGCTGAGCGTTGCACAGCATCAGCATTGGTACGCCTATTATACGGAGTATACTGGCTGCCATTATTATCCATTGGTTTGTCGGCTGGAATTTAAAAGAACGTAAAATTTAAATAGGTATTTTTGGACAAAATTAAAATATTTAAGAGTGAAAGAGCTAAGCTTTGGCACGTGACGTAGTGTTTGCCACGTGATTTAGCTTACCCGAGTCCCAATCCTTTTCTCGCTCAATATCAAAGGCAACACATTTGTGATTCCTCTGGTGCTGTGGGTATTCCTAATCCATTCAGAAGACACCAATTGCTTACCATCAGGGGATTCGCCTGATCGTTTAATGGCCTTATCTCATTGAAAATAAAACAACATTTTAGTAGCGTAGTATTTTATAACTAGTCGGCATTTGACCATTAACTCGCTCATGTAGTAGGCTATGATCATTGATCAGATAAGGTCAACGATGCACCATATTTGCGTAAATGCAACCTTTTTAGTCACAGCTATAAGACATTCATAGTTGAACCATAATATACTGAATAGTAAATAATAATATACCTACTTTAACGTATGTAATAAATTTTAAGTTAATTACGTAAATTATTGTATTCTATCCTGGTAACACAGAAGATCGAACCGAAATACTACGCAAATATTTACGGTAGTTTCCAACTAGTCAAATTCCATACTACCTATTATCCAAATGTCAAAAACGATACTTTTCTATGAAATTTGTATGAAACGCTGAGTTATGAGGTCATAGTATTTTAGCGTCAATAGTTTACTTACTTCTTAAAAAATAGTTAGTAAATATCTAAAATTTAGCGAATCGATCGATCGATAAATAAAAGTACTTATATTATAAGTACTTATTTTTCAACATTGTATTGAAACGTCGAATTAATTTAATTTTGACCTAGGAAACTACCCAATTTGGATACTACACCAGTCGTATGGTTGAAAAACTTATCAACCATTACCAGAATGTAAACAGGAAAGCATTTGAGAGAGAACGTTATGTGTGTACAAGTAAGATTTATTATCCAACAACAATAATTAATTATATTTTTATCGCAACAGAAATTAAATGCTGTAAACGTAAAGGCCATCGGTGGTTGGTGACGCATACTTTGATAGGTACGTACCTACTACATACATACATAATATTACACAATGCTCGCAAAATCTGTGTTTTGATGCGATAACATAAATTTATGTTTCTGCGTTTGGTAGTATTGGGTATGTAGGAACATGTATACCTGGATAGGCATATTCCTAAGCTACCTATTCAGTTTGCCTTGAAGACACCCAGGTTATACCTTTCGGGGAATACAGACTCCAGCAAAGAATTAAACTTGTGTGCAAAAGGACTGTCTTAATATTTAGACAGGCATTTTCTTATCAATTTTAATGAGATTTTGGCACAGGTATAAACTATACATATACTATATTACCCGGAGTAGCAGTTTTTTTAAGGGGTATAAATCATCAAATGGCTTCTTTTGGCCTGGGTCAAGCGAGAAAGAGAGTGTCAGACTCTTATTGACTACAAACCAATTCGTTCCTTCTCCTGCTCTAAGTCCATTTGAAGAAGTGAGCTAATACTACTAATATTTTTTTTATTTAAAGTAGGTACTTACTCTCAACAAGAACCCAGCAACTAATCGTCCAGCATAATCACCACAATTGAAGATCAAATAATTCACAACGGGGACAAAATATATATCTGAAAATGGTAAAGAAAATATAATTAGTTGTGCAATTAATAGGTTCTTTAAAGCTTATCTTCTGTTAGGTACTAATGAATTAATTTTAAATTCAATTACATATGATAAATTATGTAAATAGGTAATTAATCTCAATAGGAACAAGGACGAACAAGTAAAAGTTTATTTAAAGGAACACAAATAAAATAAAGACCATGAGAGCCATGCTTCGGCACGAATGGGTCGGCTCGACCGGAGTGATACCACGGCCTCACAGAAAACCGGCGTAAAATAACCACTGCGTTGTGTTTCGCCGTGTGAGTGAGGTTACCGGAGGCCCAATCCTTCCCCTTTCCCAATCCCTCCTCAATCCCTAAATCTCCAAATCCCTAATCCCTAAAAGGTCGGCAACGCACTCGTAACTCCTTCTTTGTTGCGGGTGTCCATGGGCGACGCCGATTGCTCACCATCAGGTAATCCGTCTGCTCGTTTGCCGTCCTATCAAATAAAAAAAAAAAGACATGTCGAATTAATCGCCAGTATAAAACAAAAACACTTTCTCTGTCACTATCTATATCTCTATGTAAACTTAAATCTTTAAAATTACGCAACGAATTATGATGCATTTTTTTCATAGATAGAGTAATTTTAGAGAAAGATTTATATGTACATATAATAACAGCCATTAAATTAAGGAGAAATTGTATATTGTATACACATTACATTCACGAAAAGCCGTAGCGAGTCGTTAGTCATAAAAATAATTTTAAACTATTCGTCCTCTCAAAAGTATTTTGGAATCCTATCCTAACGCTACCAAATGTAAAAGCTACTACTACGGCTCTCAGTCACCAGAAATTGTAGTTTTAAATAAGTTCATTTAAAAAAAAACTTACTATTCCAATCAGTGCCCGCTGTAGCTGGATGGGATTCCACCAGCACGGTGACAGCTGGATACACGGACATGCTGATAGCGAACACGGCGAATATACTAAAGGCGTACACCCAAATCTTCTTAGCGATGACCGTTATAAACACATCTCTGTGTCGATTACTGCCCATTCCACCACTTCCACGTAAAATGTGGTGGGTAAAGAAATCAATCTTGTACAGCATTACATAGGATATCAGTGAAGTGATGACCATAACATCAGCGATCACGAAGTAAATGAGTGCGCTGTGTAATGGGGATACTTTGAATGCAAGCGACATTATTTGGGCTAAAGCGGCTATGATGCCCCCCAAAGACTGGCCGCTTACGACAGCAGCCATATATTCCTTGGAGAATCTGCTCGCTATGCCTACAAGGCCTCCGATGAAGACCGCGCTGGCAGCTGAAAAAAAGGACGAAGTTTAGACAAAGTTTTCGGAGTTCATTCTAATTCTAACTTCATTCTGTTATTGAGGAATTTTTGGGACACTTCATGTCTAATTTTGCACGACTTATAATTTCGTATAGACGTTTCTGTTCAGACTAACACCTCCATTGGTTGTCATGTATCAGTTTTTGTACACCCTCTCCGAAACCGGTCGAAAACCAGGTAAACATACCGTGAATTTTTGAGACTAGTAAACTTAAGCTAAATCTTATTAAAACTATCATATTAACTATTCAAGTCCTAATATTTTGATAATAAATTGGGAACAAATAATCCATAATTGTTTGAATATAAATTATGTTTGGTGTTTGAAGAACCCTCACTAACCACTAGGTACATATTGTATACACCCGCATGTACTGAGGTTCCTAATAAGAATAAATTGTATAGAAATACAATCTCTTAGCATAAGGGCCTATTATCGATCCTGTATACATCAATTTTTGTTAAAGTTGTTGTTAAGTTAAATTGCAGATAATTCTCACTAATTGCGTGTCAATGCTATAGCGTCCCTTGTTCCTAAATTGCGTAAACCTATGTAAAGTAGTAAACTACAATATGTTTTTATACCTCATTGAAACAGCATCACCAAAGCCGGGAGAAGTCATTGGATTATGTCCCTCTCAAATAAAATAAAAAAGCTGTTTGATGTCCCTACAAATATTACAAAATATATAAGACAAGCTACTCTCGCGCGGCATCACCCGCTGCTCAGCTCCATTTGATCGTAGCGTGATGTTTTATAGGCTGTAGCACTCAGGAACATTGTAGCTATCTATCAGTGAAAGAATTTTGTCAATCTGACCTGCGGTTCCAAAGATTACCCCCTACATACAAACTTACAAATTTTATCTCTTTATAATATTAGTATAGACGAAGAAAGGGTGTTGATGTTAAAAAGGTTTTTGGTTGCCCAATTTTTTTTTCCACCTGATGAGGCAAAAACCTGAAGACAGGCAATGAAGGTGTTCTAGGAAAAGAGTCAAAGCCTATCATAAGGAAAGGAACTTATTAGTAGAAAAACTTCAGTGCAGTTATATATTTTAGCCATGTACAACAAAATACTATTTAAACTAAAAACAGTTCTGGTTCATGTGTAAACAAGATCAGATCTCAAAATATAGACCGGGACATACTATACGCCTTGTACCTACACAAATCTAAAAAATAAACGTCTAAATAACTTGAAACTAAATGAGTCACAAACAGACGAAGTGGTATGACCAGAAAAACATCATTAATATGGTCTCAGACAGTAAACAAGAAATCTAAAAAATAAAGGCTTGAAATTGTATCTTTAATAAAGTCATTGGTATTAAGGTGACCTGCCTTTTATGGGCAGTATCAACTAAATTATGTTGCATTGTATTGTACTCGTGTTGTATTACAAGTCCTTAACATGACTTCGGATGACTTCAAATTGGGTACCTATTAATAACTTAAGATAAGCAAGTGTGGGAGAGCCAAGCTTCGGCACGAATTGATCGACTCGACCGGTGTGATACGACGGCCTCACAGAAAACCGGCGTGAAACAACTACAGCGTTGTGTTTCGCCGTGTGAGTGAGGTAACCGGAGGCTCAATCCTTCCCCTCCCCCAATCCCAAATCTCCAAAAGGTCGACAATGCACTCGTAACTTCTGTGTTCTTGCGGGTGTCTAAGGGCGGCGCAGATTGCTTACCATCAGGTAATCCGTCTGCTCGTTTGCCGAGTTATCACATAAAATATAAATACGCTTTGCCAGCCTCGTAATGTATATCAACATTAGGTATAGAATAAATATTGCGCAGATCTAAGAGACCACCGTATATGGGGCCAATGGGGCTGATGTTCAGCCAGGGTTATGTGTCAAGCACAATAATGGTCTGCGGTGCCAGCATGGAGCAGGAGGAAAGCAGGGTAGTTTTAGTCAGAAAGAGTCTGACACTCTCTCTCGCCCCACCAGGTTGACAGAAGTCATTATAGTCAGTCAGTGGCGACATCATTTTTCTTCTGTGTCATGGGTGCGTTTATAAACCTACAATTTCACATACACATAACACCCAGACCCGGAACAACAATTTGTGGATCAAGCAAAAAGTTCAACAACTTGTTAGGGAATCGAAAAAGAGACACATTGCGTGGCAGCCAGTTAGCCAGCCACCGCGCCAGCTGTGCAGTCAAATCTAAGAGAAGTATATGCTATTTGCGATGCAAAAAAAACTGATAGTAACGGGTGTCTATGGGCGGCGCCAATTGCTTATCACCAGGTGATACGACAGCTGCTTTGCCATAAGTCTGCAAAGGAGCCATAATGAAAAAAGGTATTGTATTTGACTACTTAGATGTCGACATTCCTATTATGTTTTTGTAAACGCACCCGCCTCTCAGGAGAAAAATCCTAGTGTGAGCGTGTGTGTCTGTTAGAGTGTGTGGTACTCTAATAGATTTATATGCAGAATTTGACTTAGTATTTTTGACTTTTTTTTTGTTTATAAGTTAAAGAGATAATAATCTTTGTACCTACATATGTTTTATAGCAACAATACCTACATAAGCAATCCGGGGCAAGGTTTTAAAATACAAAACAAAGTTACTGCTCAGAGCTTGTGACCGTGAAAAGGCTAGGTCATTAGTCAAAGTCACGCATAGACTCAACCGTTTTAGTGTAAGTATTAAAATAGGTAGTTTCTTAGGTCAAAAATAAATTAATTCGACGTTTCAATACAAGAAAATATTGAAAAATATTTATCGTTCTGTCGATACACAACATTTTCGATACTTTTTAGCAAATTTTTAAGATGTAAGCTATTTTACGCAAATATACTATGACTTCAAAATTTGGAGTTTCATAAGAATTTCATAAAAAAGTATCATTTTTCATATTTGGATAAAAGTAATGAATTTGACTAGTTGGGAACTACCATATTAAGTATACCTAGCAAAATTAATTATCATAAGAATAAAGGTATTTTCAATTAAACTGGGAAAAAGTTTAGTGCTGATAAAAATTGACAAATTTCATAAAAACATTTAAACAAACTGACATTAGTGAAAATGCTATTTATCATCATCTTCATCAGCCACATTAATACGACTCTTGAACATAGTAATGACTTCTTGGGACGCCGAAAAGGATCTGTTCCCAGAACAGATCCTTTTCGGCGTCGCTTTTTTTGAAGGAAGATAATCATCATGTTACTTCTTCCGCTCTGAGTAGGGCGAGAGAGACTGACTTAAAAAACCCACCCCGTTCCTTCTCCTATCCTGCTTGCATCTGCAACCCTGGCAATGTAACAACTCCTGAGGTGGACGTACAATTTTAATAGGAAGTTCGTCCACATTGTAGATGGTCATCCTGTGATGCGGTTCCTCTATTTGAGAAATTTCTTGCTCTAGGTGGCCAATGGCTCTATGAGCTGACCAGCCCATAGCCACTACAGCTTGCCAATCCGCTGCTAGACTATGTCGACCAGCTTTTTTTGCAGATCTCATTTGTGATTCAATCGCGCAAAGGAAAACCTGTCCCAAAGCGCGTTGAGTGACCTTGAGCTATTTTGTCGCCGTATTCGGTTCGGTAGAATTATCCGAAGAAGTAAGAGAGAATACAGACTCCATTCATCTATACTATCTGTACTCATATTATAAAGCGGTAAAACTTGTAAGTTTCTATGTAGGGGGTAATCTTTGGAACCGCTGGTCGGATTGCCAAAATTCTTTCACTGATCTATAGCAATGTTCCTGAGTGCTATAGGCTATAAAACATCATGCTAAGATCAAATGGAAACCAGCAGCGGGTGAAACCACGTGAGAGTAGCTAGTTGCAAATATGTTTTCTTTAGGGTCTTTCAACATACACTTCGGTACTTGGTACACGTGCTAAAGATAACTAAATCACTTATTAACTAGGACTATTCTAAATTAAACTTAAACATTGATAGCGTAAGTCTTAGATTACATTATTTTTTGTATTGTAAACTAATTAGAAGCGCCATTAAATGCAGCTAACATGGGGAAACCTTATCTCTATGGTGTTAGGTTACATAATTGTTTAAACAAGAATGAGTGAAAACGCGAGTATTTGAAAACAGATGATTCAGGTCTTATTTCTTGTTTAGGTAATTTAATTCGTAAAATCCCCTCCTTGTGTCATTTGTTTTCTATTCTGAATTCTGTTTGTGAGTCATCGTGAGTTCGGCATAGTTTCTTCACGTCGTTTTCATTAATATTCGAATTTAAAGTAAATAAAGGTTTTATGAAATTATCTAACTCTACACTCTATGTAAGTGAGAGCCATGCTTCGGCAAGAATGGGCCGAGTCGACTGGAATGATACCAAATTTTGCCGTGTGTGTGTGAGGTTATCTGAGGCCTAAACCTTCCCCCCCCCCCCCATCCTCTATCTTCAAATCCCCTCCAAGAGTCTGGCAGCACACTTATAGTACTGTACTCCTTTGGTATTGCGAATGATCATGGGCAGCGCAGATTGCTTACCATCATGTTATCCGTCCGCTCTTTTGCCGACCGAAAGAGTAAAGACAACGCGCTTAAAGACAGTTATGTATTTAAACCTCTGTCGTATAACAACCGTAAAGTTAGGTTTTAAAACCAACTATTTAGTTAGTGTTATTTAATTCGAATTTTCGAGATAAATACTCATTTCATTCATATATCCAACAGCTTACTCACGTAACTGTTTATCGAGATAGCTCGAATAGTTTCGAGCTACGTTAGGGGTCTGTAATAATTTGCCTGCGCGACGTTCGCTGCGTCGTGTGTCGCGCAATACTGGTTATGAATATTTTACAGTAAGGAAACTTGGAAAACGATGAGTTTGTTATTGGTTTGAGTAATTGCAGTAATGTATACTGAATTCCTTCTCCGCATGAGAAGAGGTCACGCCTGTTAAGCAGTTTTCAGGCTGTCATCTATATCGTATGATGTACGAAATGATAAAGCGTATACCTTATCTGAATAATTAACCTTATTTAAAAACTTTTAAGTCATGCTCTACTATGCCATTGTGCAATCTAGATATTTATCAGTCCACATTTAATTATGTTATTGTAATCATCAATATATTCATTGAAGCCGAAATACATTTTTGTATGTACTTATATGGATAACATTGAGACTATTTAATTTCTTTTTCTATTTACTTTTGTATCTGTAAAATGACTAGCAGCGGTTAGGTTTGAATGAGCTGGAATTACTGGGTGTTAGGTTGGTAAACCTAGCTACGAATGCGCACCGTAATGTTGGTTTGACATGCGCGGGCTGCGAACCGCGCGTTCCCGCCTATTTTTAAAAAGTAAATGGCACACTAGTGCCACAGATTAGCGAGTATGATTGACGTATTGCATCGTTCCCTTTTCCCGCGCAAATACATAATACTGGGTAAGCGCAATAAGGCACCGCGGCCTCGGCCTAGAGTAGAAGGGACGCTGATGCGTGTGTGTCAGGAAGAATCTGACACACATGCAGCCTGTACGAGAGATATCATTTGATGATTGTCCCCACAAAAACGAGGGTTAGATTCGGATACGAAGAGTTAAATAACTAAATCTATGGGCAGGCTATCGAAGCTGAGATATGGACAGAATTGGGCAGTTGGGCATGAATACCTGCCCTTTTTTTATGGTAGCGGGAAACGAGATTACCTCATGGTAAGCACACCAAAGGAGTTTCAGTTCCTAGCATGTTGGACATGGGAGGAATTGGGTCACCGATAGCAATATTCATTAGCAAACCTCATGTCGCACCGGTTGCCTGTGATGACTCAGGACGAGCCAGCTCATTCATGCCGAAGCATGGCTCTCTGACGTGATAAAAGTTGATTCAACTTAAGTATTTAATATTCACGTTTATAATAAACATATTTCACAAAGGTTTCGAACTAATATCCAGTTACCGAGCTATTAGTAGCTGAGATCCATAATGAGTCACCATGATATCATTTTGAGAATTGAACCTTGTGGTCGCAAACACCAATACAGTATCTACCATAATGTAAGTACTTATTGGATTGGATTGAACAATGTATGATAAATTCTAAAGAAAATTGTAAACTATTTCAATGTCTGAATGTATAGCCCTACATAGCCTTGTAACATAGCCAGGTAGTTAATAAAAGCAATTACTAACTAACCACATATTACAAAGAAAAGAGGGAGACGGAACGTGACCCAGATTACTAAGGCAAATATTATCAAAACATCACTTAGTTAGGTCAAATGCACATCTGCATAATTATGTGTTATTTACATATTGATAAGCAATAATTTGTTGGCACTTAGAAATAGGTTCATCAGTTTGATAGCGTTTTCCTTGTGCTTATTATGGACAAAGGAAAGTGATACTAAAATCTCTATTTACTTATAGAGTAAGTACTAGTTTACATCTAACCTCAAAAGGACAGGCTCTACAGGGCATTGTGAAGACTTTGACGTGAAAACGTTTAATAAATTGATACTATACCTACGAAAAAGACGATTTTTCGTGAATGTAGCCCATAGTCGTCATTGTCCCGTTGCGATCATTGTCGCGTTCCGCAAGCGAGAGCGCAGCATGAACGAGGGGGAAGCCTGATCGGCTCGAGTGTGGGAGAGCCATGCTTCGGCACGAATGGGTCGGCTCGACCGGAGTGATACCACGGCCTCACAGAAAACCGACGGGAAACAACCACAGCGTTGTGTTTCGCCGTGTGAGTCAGGTTACGGGAGGCCCAATCCAAAGGTCGGCAACGCACTCGTAACTCCTTTGTTGGACACCCGTCCATCAGCGGCGCTGATTGCTTACCATCAGGTAATCTGTCTGCTCGTTTGCCGACTTTTTACATAAAAAAACTCAAAAGACTCAGTTCGGTTTGTGCTACTGTAATGTTTGACGTCACGTCATAATACCGTTCGTAAACCGACTTTACACATGACCAATTACCAGTTAAGTTCTGAAATTCGGATTATATTGGAATTTTTATAAAATATCTACTACATAAGTAACTATAACTACATAAGTAGAAATATACTATTATTTTAATACCTCTTTCGCCCGTTCTCTACCAAAATATCTGTACCTAGTTATCGCTGATTTCTCTACCCGACCGCTAAGGTTGACTTGAAGGGAATACTATATGCCTTTAAGTTCATATTATCTACTAACTTTTCTTATTATGTTTACATATAAATCAGAATAATTAAAATAATATCTGTTCAAAAAAAAATCGAGTTCAATTCCTGCAAATTCGATCGATAGTCAAGCGACTGCATCCAGTCAAATTCAGGCTGCTTCACTGCACTTCTAAAAATGTTAGCTTATGGAAAACTAAAGCTTCCCTTGCGCGGTGTCACCCGCTACTCGGTTCCTACAGATAGTATATAGGTTATAGCTTTCCTCGATAAATAGAGTAACATACACAAAAACAATTGTGCAATTTGAACCACTAGTTTTGGAGATTAGTGCGGTCAAATAAACATATAAACTCTACAGCTTTATAACATTATAGTCAGACTTTTAATTCGATTCCTGATTTGACATGAGCTATTGTCATTTTGTGAAATAATGATACCACATATAACAATGTAGTGATGAACACAAAAATCGATAAACAATCAGTGAATCAGTTTCAGGAAGGCATTCAAAAAATTACGGCTACCGAATGGTCTAAATGTCTATCCCATGTTTTCAAAGAAGAGGAAAAAATGAGTAAGCTAGATATGTTAATTGACAATAAATATCAAAGACACAATTCATAATAATTGTTACATGGAGTAACGGCGATAACGATAGCGATGACGGCGACAATTTATAAAATGTCTGTTTTATTTGTCACGTTGCTTCATGATCACATTTTTTATTAATTTCACATACAATTACAAAAGAAAAGTCTCAGATCGTTAATTAATTGTCAAAACTAAATTATCGGTTCAGAAATATTTTATTTCCTGATAAACTTAGTTTACGAGAGTAAATTTATAAACGAGAGGAATCGATTCAGAAAAAATCGATTTCCACATCGAATAATTTCGCAACGTCACTATTTATTACGTGTCATAACGTTGCAACATTGAAATTGTCAAATCTGGAATGGAATTAAAAGTCCGAGTATAGTATAGATTAGCAATAAGCACTTACCGGACATAACAAAGACGGTGGCTATGGTGATGATAAGAAATGTCAACTGCCATTCATCAGTGTCCACTTGAACAAATGCAGTTGTCACCAAAAAACATAAAGTCACTATGACCAGGGATCCTTGCAATTTTGCTTTCATAGGTACTCTGAAAAAAAAAATTACATAGAACTACTTGTTTCTGTCCAATGTTGAAGTATACTTCTACATAGACTTCTATAATAATATGCCCCAAAAAACAAAGGACCATCTCCACAATGGACTATCTCTTACGAATCTAACATTTAAAATTGGAATGAGAATGACAGACAGTATAAGACATAGTATAATTTATAGTATACCTAAATATATAGTACCTACAGAAGAATTATCTAATTCTTCTGTGAAAAAGTTATCTACAATGATGATAAAGATTCATGATAACGATAAAACTAGACCAAAACCAAACCAGAATTTAACCAGAATCAAAAGCATCCACTCATTTCTTTGTTCTCAGAATAAGTAAAACCTTAGCTGCATTATTTACTACTTAGTCATCATTCCCATCTCATTCAAATTCAAATTCTATCCAATACATTTAAAGCACAAATTTCAACAGCTTTTTTTCATGAGCACCCTAAGTATAACAATAGGGGATTACTATTTTCTGACAATGGGTCTCAAGTAAAGAACAGATAGAGATGCAAGAGTATGACAGTTAATTTAAAATAACATTACAATATTAATAAAAATTAAGTAAATCTATAAAGTAAAAATAAAATATTAGTTATTGTTACAAGTGTAAACATCAATTTGCTAAGTTTATCTATGCAAACAACATTCAGTAATTAATTATTTATTGTATTTTTGCAATCATTAACAATGTATACAATTAGGAGATTGTATGCAAAACATGTTATTCAGTAAAGACATTGTTTAACACCCGGTTTCTGAAAGGAATGTCAATGCTAAAATTAACTTATCTCCTGTTAAATCTCTTGTCAAGTCATCTGATTGGTTGTTGATAATTCAGTCAATCAATCAGATGACTTGACCAAAGATTAAATTGATTTTAACATTGATCGGCCTTTCTGAAACCGGGAGTAACAGAAAAAAAAATTATGAGCATTATCAAATATTATGACTGGGATTATTATCATTATGTTGGTATATCTGATATGGAAGAATCTTATTATCTCAGAATTGCATATGATGTTCTTCTCCATTTTCCAAGTTATTGTATCTTTAGATTTCAGTATAATTAATAAGATGTATAGACTGATTGATATGTAAAAATTAAACTTTATATAATTTAACATTCACACTATTTCGCTGGAAATTATTAAGGAACTAACTAGTCTCTCAAAGCATCACTCACTGCTCAGCTCCTATTTATTTTAAAGCATGATGATTTATGGCCTTTGACTTTCCTCAACCGAACTCAGAAATAATTATTCAATTCAATCAAGAAGATTATAGATAAAATTATACTTACAAATGCCCATATAGTGAGTTGAGGAGTAAAAATGCTAAGTTAGGAACAGCGGTGGCCATGTTGAGGAATGATGTGAATTCTGCCTGGAATTCCGTCTTACGCACCACCATTGTGAGATTATTCGGTTTAACTTCCCGAAATTTGTACATCCAATACTAAAAATAAAGTAAATGGTAAAGTAAAACCTACTTTTTGGAAAAGTGTAACTTAAATTAGTTTGATAGAATAATATTGTATACATCTAGTGGATCATATTAAAACACAAATTGAACATTTAGTCTTAATTTAATCAAACAGCAGCTAATTACAAAAAATATTAATGTAGAGTTGTTTAAAACAATGTAGAGTCAACATAGAGTTTAACAAAATAAATATCCTACATTTGAAACAAATTAGTATTAGACTCATTTGCAGATAACAAAAAGGTCATCTATCGAAAATGGTAGTAAAAATAGAGTGAAGGTCGTTTCCTTTAGACACAGGCGTTAGGGACATAGTATAAAGAAAAATAAAATTTTGTCTACTTACATCATTGGCAGTGATAACAAAATTCCAGGGCACAAGCGACGTGATTCCAAATAAATAAAAGAGTATGTAAACAATGTTATAGTTGTCTATAGGCTGCTCTCCTGTGCCCAAAACCTTTGTCGAGCATGAGTCAGTCACCAACTCTCTCTCCTCTGAATCGTCAATAACCTCCTCTTCATTTTCAATGGCATCTAAAGCCTCAGTGTTAATAGACCCTGTCGTATCCATCTTTACCACAAAACAGCCCGATTATTAAGACAAAATTTTCGCAAAACGTCTCCAATATTTTGTTTTATTTCACTGTTACGAGTGCTATTGTTAAGTAGAAAAATGCCGTTATTAAGTAATTATAGTCACATTTCATGATCACTAGCGCATTTCGAATTAAATATCTTTTTGATTACTATTTTTTACGTCGCACAGTATTTCGTTCGATCGAAATATTGACTATTGACTATCAGCCAGCCATCTGCCTCGACCAGCTGTCAACTCCGTCAACAACACTATGCGTCAAATTCAGCAAATCAACGCGATTGTATCATTGAGATAGAAAATATATAGAGGCGCCGTGTTACTATAGAAGTATACATGCTTATACAAATATGAGGGAAATATGAAACAAACTATGAAATATCATTTTGTCTCACTCTTTCTAAGGCAATAATTGTATTAGACAAAAGGGACAACAATATTTAAGTTGTTGCTTAATATGGAAACAAATCATTTTGACATTAGCAAAGTTGTAGGTAAGTGCCATGTCCGCCATCTTAAGCGCTCAGAGTACCTGAGTTTCATGGTAGTTGTCCTGTCAAACGGTTGTTTATGTTTTAAATTATTGCGGTTTTTCAGTAAATAACAAAGAACCATTTTTTTAAACTTCAAATATATATAGTAAAACAAAAAAACAATATGCCTGTGTGTTGTATTGTGCAGTGTGGTGCAAAAAAGAACGAAAATCAACCTCAATTGTCTTTGTATAGGTTAGTAAACAGTTTTCATCAAATATTACTTAGAATAATCCACATAGATAGAAAAAAATGTCACGGATACTTTAATCTATTGCCAAAGTATATATATTTACTTTTATTTCTGTCTGTGAGACAGTTTTAGTAAAAAAATGTTGTTTACAATAATATGTCAATATGGCATAGTTACGTACCATTTCACAAAAGTATCGATATAATCTCCCATTTAAAATTCAACATATATTATACTAAATAATCTATTTTAACAATCTATGTTTCCGCAGTTTTGTGTAACGCTAAAGTAAGACGTCAGTATTTTGGTATTGGTTTTAGTTACATACGTAGAAGTTCAAATTATCATGTTTTATAATTATACGGGCGCGATTGACAGAGCGGCATTGGCGACGATCCCAGTGCGACCACCAAGCGTAATAATAAAAAGTGAGATACATACAATAAGATTGACTTCACTACATATCTATTTTGTGCTAACGTAGTTTCGAAGATATCATCGCTTAATCACAGGTTTTCCACATATATAAAGATAAACATTTAACAAACACTATCTTTTTCTATTTCACCATTCCATTAAACGCTGTTCATAAACACAGTCCTATTTTTTTAAAAGACGCTTTACGTAGAATTATATGAATACAAATTCGACTTGAGAAAATCATTAGACTCTAGCTAGGCCGACGGCAAAGTAGGAACAGGAGTTGATTTTAGTCAGTAACGGTCTGTCCCGAAAAAGGCCGGAGGTGACATTAGATGATTTCCCATAAAAAAATACCGTTAATCAGCTGGCTAATCCCTAAAACTATACCTACGTAGAACTTTTACTCAAATTGTATCGATACTCATTAAATACTTAGTCGGCACAACCCTAGCAACGGCAGCCATCTTATGCGACATTTTGGATTGTAGGTAGGCACCTTTTTTTCGTAGGTATTTCAAGTCCATATATTTCCTATGTCAATGGATTGTATTTACGTAAGACCACAGACAAAATAAAGCTATGAACGAACTGATGAGCGATTGCTTGAATGGTGCGGAGACCCTTTTTTTGTGGCGGGCGGGAGAAGTCATATGGGAGAGTCATCAAATGACTTCTCTCACCCAGAGTGGGGAGGGAGGAGGGTTTGTCAGAATCTTACTGACTAAAAATCCCCCCTTCCTTCTGCTGCTTTAGGCCGAGGCCGCGGTTACTCATTGCACTTGCCCCACAACCCCGGCTGAACATCAGCCCTATAGACTCGAGTGACCCTATTATAAACCAAAAAAATACCATATATTTTTATATTGCATATTTTTTCGGGCGGCAAATGAGCACATGGATCACGTGATGGCAAATGGCAAGTAATCAGTGATCCATCTATCCACAACACCACAGAAGTCGCCAGCTTTTTGGGACTCTGGTAACCTTACAAACCCGTTCATCTAAATCAAAACATGAGTGTTTCACATTGATGTAGAATAATTTAAATACACACTAAATCCATGTTCAATGGTTAAAATATTTATACAATATTTACTACAAGTACTTGCACTTAGATTTTTTTACGTAAGGTGAATAAAATTGAATACAACAATTTTTGAAGCGGGTAAAGATCTAATGCAACGCCCTATTTTGTGAGGGGAAAATCATCAAATGGAGTTCTTCAGGGAGTGTCATACTTACTGACTCAAAACCCCTCCGTTCCTTCTCCAGCTCTGGGCCGAGGTCGCGGTGCCTAATGACACGCCCTGGGTTGGTAAGGGGAAGTACTTTGTACCGGCTCCTAACCAAGACCGGGCGGGTATTTTACTGTGCTTGCAAGTATCTACATAATTTTCTTTTTAACCGACTTCAAAAAAGGAGGAGGTTCTCATTAGAACTCTACTAACGATGACAACGATTTGCACAAATGCCATATATGGAACACTTGCTATTATCTATGCTAATTTAATTTAATCGTTATAAATCACTTAATAAGGTCCTTTATAGATACTTTACAGATCTAAAAGTGGATAATTTGCTCTGTTCTCAGAATTGTAATAGACGTTATACGTGTTACTTAAATGGCAAAAAACAACATCAAAGAGTAAAGTAAGTATAATGATAATTCCAAGCTTCTGGATACCGAAGAAACAGTAGAAGAAATATAGGGGAATGTGTAGAGTGTAGGCGAAGTGCGAATTTCTTACAGCAACGGTAAGACCCTTCGTTGTGGAGTGGCTAAATAAAGTAATCAGAATCAGCTGCTGCAAGGTTGGGCGAGGATATTATACGGAACAGGAGTATACTATGTAAATAGCGAAACTCGCAAAGACGGAGGCGGAGTACGTGACGGAGCTATGCTCCTCACGCCCCAGCTGCCGCAGTAGACGACACTCCGAACGTCGAGGATAGAACGACGCCACCAAGGACAAGGACGGCGAGTAAGTGTAGGTAGCTCGCGGCCCGACCAGAACCAAACCCGTAGTCAGAGCTTCCAGCATAGCGTTCCGCGTGCGCCTTAGCGAGCCGGACAGGGCCAATGTTCAGGCAAGCGCTATGAGGTAAGGCCCGGTTTACATTATTCCAGTCCAGCGATCCAGTCCAGTACTGGATTGCTTACTGGAAAAATGTAAACCGACACTGGAATGAACTGAATCCAGTATCGGCCAATCCAGTGCTATTCCAGTGCTGACGAGGTACACATGTGTTGGTTGTTTTTGCGGACTTTTTTTGCAAAGAAAAAGGATTTAACAATGCCTAAAATGGCCTAAACGGACTGGGCTTGAATCAAAATAGGAACGGGCTGGTTTTAAGTCAGTAAGAGTCTAATACTCCCTTTCTCCTCACCCTGGATTAAACTATTCGGCTGGTATTTAGGTCACAAATTCCATAGTTGTAAAGACATCCTTTTCCATACTGCTCCGTAGTTGCGTTACTTAGTTAGATATTAAATAAAACATTTTCTATGAAAATACTGTGTGAAATTTTATTAATATTTTCATCATAATTATATTTGTCATATCAACTACCTACTTATTATTCTAAATTACGATTTACTATTATTCTTGTACAATTTACAATTAAAGCATGAACATAAGGTCATTCATATTATTTTATACATGTTATCATGTAAATATCTTACGTTAACATAAGGCAGTAAATAAGCTTTTAAAAGTATACAATAATATCTGTAAAAAAATTATGGTGATGTAAATTAGGGACTTTGCTATAATTTGCCGCATTATTTTAGAAATTTGAGCGATTCAAAGTACCTACTCAAAAGTACAAAAAAACATAAACTTTGTGAATAGAGATATTACGGAGGGATAGAGCGCGCAATTCACAGAAAAATCACCATAAAATTAAAAAAATAAATACACAATAAACATTAACGTCGATATTATAAAAGTTAAAAATTATACAAAATAACTATTGTATATGGAAAGACTGTCTCTTAAAAACTAGTTTACGATACGATTTGTTGATACAATTCATAAAACGTTTAACATAGGACGGACGTGCAAGAATACGTATCTAATATTGCATCATATTCATTAATTACAATTAAAAATATATATACGCCTTATAGGTAGGTAATCACTTTATTCATTTGTATTATATATTTATTTAAGTTTTCACCGTTAAAACTTATAATAATAAGGCATCCATTTCTTCGTAAGGCGTAGCATTAGAATTTAATTTGTTTACTTCATTATGAGATCGATCACCTCTGGTAATTTGTGTAGTCATTAAGACTTAAAATACTTTTTACATACACATTAAGGCCGGCCGCAGACATACGGTTTCCGTATTAGGTTTCCGAATTCGTTTTCCGTATGCGGGCATCCGAATGCATAGATTCAATATAAAATACATTAACTGACGCACACGTTCGTTTTTTTTCCGTACGGAACAAAATCCGAACGTGTATTCCGAATGCAAGCCGGCGCGTTCGGAGAAACGTACGGGAAAAAACCTAATGACGTCATGCGGAACGCAGCGCTTGCATACATTTTGTTTGTGCCGGCGCACACGTTCGGAAATTTCTATTCAGTTTTGCGCCCGCGGCGCGCGCATCGGACGTATTCTTTGTATTTGTTACGCATAGAATCGCAACACGATAATGTGTGAGGCAGAAACATTAATATTGGCTGTTGAAAAATACCCCTGCCTGTGGAATATTCATGACAATGACTATCACAACAAAGATGTCAAAGATTTGGCCTGGGAGAATGTATTTAAAGAGGTTATAAAGGATTGGGACACGTGCACTAAAGTGGACAAAGAAAACAAAGGTAAGATATTTTCTATATACTTTTTAATACAATAGTGCCCACATTTATTCTTGTAAATTATTAATTCTCTCGTTATATTGGTACGATATTTCCCCTGCCGGTGTCATAAAGTACTCAGCAAAATTGTCTCTTATGTTTCGACTTCGGTTTGTGGATCTGTGTTGTGGACTACGGTAAGGTATATCTTCGAAGTAATGTGTCAGAGTATCTTCAAATCGATAGCCGTCTCGTCTGCGTACAAAATTATGTAACACACACGCAGTCTTTGTTACTAATACTGCAAATTCTGGTGGAATCGTCATGCTAGTGTGAAAAATTCTCCATTTATTCGAGAGAATACCGAAGGCACATTCCACTACACGTCGTGATCTGCTGAGGCGGTAGTTAAAAATTCTGCGTTGGGTATTGAGATTACTTCTCGGATATGGTTTCATAAAATTGTTATTCAGTGGAAACGCTTCATCGCCAAGAAACACAAAAGGTAGTGGTGTGTCATTGGTATTCGGCAGAGGTTTTGCTTCAGGCATATTAAGACGATTTTGAATTAACTTTTTTCCAAAATTCCAGTTGTTAAAAATATTACTATCGCTGTCTCTGCCATAAGCACCGACATCTACAGCTATAAAACGGTAGTCAGAATCTACCACTGCTAATAGTACAACAGAGTAGAAATGTTTATAGTTATAAAAGGCAGATCCACTATGCAGAGGAGAAATCAAACGAATATGTTTCCCATCCACTGAACCTACGCAATTAGGGAAATTGGTTCTTCTATAATAATTTTCAGCAATTTCTAGCCAACGTTCTTTTGAAGATGGTGGCTTCATTTCCAAAGGTTGAAAAACTTCCCATATTGCTGTACAGGTTTCCTTAACTACGGCTGATACGGTCCTGCTCCCCATCAAATATTCAAAGTGTAACTCTTCAAAATTTTTACCCGTTGCCAGGAATCTGAAAAAAAGATATAAAATAATATTAATTACATTTCAGGTGCTGAGGCAAAGAAAAAATGGACACACATAAGAGACTACTTTCGAAGAGACTTTCAAAAAAATAAAAGCGCTCCTACAGGCAGTGCCGCTAAAAAGGTTAAAAAATATGTTTATGCAGACCTGTTGTATTTTCTTATACCGGTATTCGATAAAAGAAATACCGAAGGAAACTATCAATTCGATGATTTACACAATAATAGTTCACAAGAATCTGAAACGCAAGAACACAGCGTGGAACAAATAGATCACCATACAAATATATTACAACCTCCATCACCTGTATCAACTCCACCTGCAAGTAGTTTAAAACGAAACAAAAAAGATATCCCCTCCCAAATACTCAGTATCCTACATCAAAATCAACAGAAAGCCAATCAGAAACAACAAGAAGTAGAAGACGACGACATGAAATTTTTATTGAGCTTTAGAACACATATGAAACATATGAATGAAAATCAAAAAATTGATTTTAAATTGGGAATGTTGCAGTTGGTAAAAAAAATCAATACTGAGTACAATTCATCTCCATCTTCTTCACTGAGTTATGATAACTTCAGTCACCGTTCAGAAACGCCGGCATCAAGCCGTGATTATTCCCCCTCTTTTTCATATATTCCTGTACCAGAAACTCCATTGCCCACCTTTATTAGTACATCTTCTTCGCAAAATAAAATCACTAATTATCAATCTGCCCCAAACAATTCCAGAGTGGTTATTAACTCTATTAGACATCTGCCACCGCTTCAACCACCACGTCATCACTACACATCACCTAATCTTGATGATGTGGCAACCTATAATTAAGTCTACACTTAGTCATAAATTAATTTAATTTAAGTGAAGCCCATGTATGCATCTCAATCATGATGTGGCAACCTATAATTAAGTCTACACTTAGTCATAAATTAATTTAATTTAAGTGAAGCCCATGTATCAGTGTAAGAACTTGTTGGTTGTCCTAATAAATAAATAAAAAAATAAATAAATAAATAAAAATAATCTTCAACATGCCGAAGATACCGAAGCTGCAAGTTTTTTAGTTGTACAATCTCAAGGACAAGAACAGGAAGATAATATTGGCAAATACCTAAAGTTTAACTAAGATAGTTGATTTGTTATTTTTGTAAATATAGATGTAAAAATAAAGAGAACTTACCTCAAGGTTACGGTTAGTTTTTCTTCTGTATCCAAGGATAATCTCATGGAGGTATTTTGCTTTATTAATTTATCACGTATGCCATTATGAAGTTCATCAAAAGAATTTATTGACATCCTGTAGAAATCAAAGAATTTATCTGGGTGTGCTCGTAACTTAGTTCTCTTCAGATAAAACGAACTCTCGTAGATTCTCCGAGTATTCAATGGATGTACCCAATACCGACGTTTCTTTTTCTTCTTTATTGTCAACAGAAATGCAATTGCTAATAAATCGTCGTCCTCCATCGTCGTGCGTTCACTACGCTATCACTATCTATACTGACGTGTATACATTCCGAATGAAGAAAAACGAACGTTTGCGCTAGTCTCACGGAATTCCAAATCGAAATTCCGCATTAGGAAATCGAATACGTAAAACGTGTGTATGCGGCCAGCCAAACTTATACTACAAGGACACAAACTACAGGGACAGATTAAAAATAGAATGGAATGTCAAAGTTTATAAAGGCACTTGTTTAGAAAAATCGTGAAACGAAACGTAAGAAATTAAAAAAAATACATCTCGATCAAGACATCGTAAAGTCAGTCTTTTCATTGCTTCTACTTCTACGATAGGATATAAGTGTGATCAACTCCTTTTATATTATTATTCTATTTATTTAGTACCTAATAACTGCCGCACTCAGAGTCATTTAATGGATATTTAACACAATACTTAGCATCATTTACTAACTGAAATGTATACCAGTAAAATATGGAATCGTTAATTTTTATAAATAACGTTATCATATTTAACATAATGTGTTACGTTTAGTCAACTGTATCGATAAGCATTTTGTTTAATTAATTTTGAAGCTATATTATCGCCTTTAAACTAAATAAAACATAGTTTTAACACATTCAGTGCCCCCGACGCGTATGTGCGTGCGAGGAAACGCACATACGCGTCGGGGGCACTGAATGTGTTAAGTATCAATGCATAAGCTGTACCAAAAGTTTTAATGTATTTTAATAATCACTGCAAGCTAAGTTAAATTATTTAAATGATTGAGAAATGTAGATTTAAATAATTTTACTATACCTATCTTCATATTTCGTATACATACCGTTGTATATCGATTACCGGTTTATTTATAGAAAAAATCGAAAACATCCGCTATTTTATCACCAATTTTTTATCTAAACTAATATTATAAATGTGGAAGTAAGTAACTGTCTCTGTCTGTCTGTCTGTCTTTTCTTCACGCCTAAACTACTGAACCGATTTCTGTGAAATTCGGTACAGACATAGTTTAGAACTTGAGAAAGGACATAGGATAGTTTTTTAACCTAAAATCTGCAGGAAGTCACTGTTCCGCGCTAACGGACTTTCGGGCAAAATCTACTTAGTCTTTAATAAAACCATAAAAGGTCTCTAAGCACGGCAGTAACACAATCTTACATAGCCGTTTCTAAGGGTTGACTATGTGACCGACTTGCTTCTGACATCGGTACCGGACTGGCTTCGGAGTCTTCAAAGTCGAAATTCGTTTCTAACAGCGCTTCAGACTTGGACCTATGATGTAACTCTGGTAATGGCGAATCGTCAAACTCTCTAGAAAGATCGTGTGGGCTGGAATCGTAACTGGGAATGTTGTCTGAAGTGGTCGTGTCGTACGCACTGGAGTATACCGGCGGGTGCGGCGGACTTGGTAGGTTGTCCTCGTAATATTGTTGTTGATCTGTGAAGGAGAAGAATAATTTAACATAGCCACCTAACAAGAACATTTACATAATGGATGAAGGTGACAGGTTGTGTTGTAGTCGTTGTAGATCCGCCCTAGCTGCGCACGGATGCAATACTGATACTAAATTAGTAATATGAATTATTTAATTATATTGATACGAGTACTACCTATTTAATGGATGTTATTGTAAATATAAATCAATATAAATCAAAACATCCATTGGGATATGTACTTAGTAATAAATGAAGATGCTGCGTTTATATTTTGTTTTGATTACGTCACAAAGAAGTTCTAACTTTGTTAAAAATACTTTATCATACCTGCAACATTATTTCTCTGTCCAAAAGTAGTAGCAGGCACCGCTCCCGCCTGCGGTTGCTCTGGCATTTTGGACCTTAACTCCATTAGGAAAGAGAGCTTCGGTGCGCCATAACTGCCTGCAGGGGCTCCATAGGCACCGTATATCTTTCCTTGTCTCTCTAACTGACGTTTCAAAGTGTCACCGTCTTCAGAATTGTCTCTTAAAGGTAATGTATCTGAAGTGAAGTACTGAGAATCACTTCTAGGGGATATTGTGTATTCATCTGGAGGGGATCTTAGGCCTTCTGGGTGGTGTAATATTGGTATTTCTTCCGTAGCAACCGTATTTATTGAGGGGGCGCCACTGGCCGTGCCAGAGTTGTCCCTATAACCTTCATTTCTGAAGGCCAAATTGTACGGTCTGTTATTATTTTGTTGTGGTACTGAGTATTCTGGAGTTATGGGCTTCTTTACGAAGGTCGTGTGTGTGAGTGGCATCACGTTTGGATTCGGGTTGTGAGCCTCGTAAATGTCGAAGCTCTGATTGTCGTCTAGTGAGGAATTGAATTGGCTCTTCTCCATAGATTCCATTGATGTGGTCGACGCGAGCATCTTTCTGTAGTCCGAGCCTTTTGTTAATGTGTCCGTGGAGCGAGTACTCTGTAAATGAAAAATAAATAGTCAGTACAATCTTCCTAAATGCGTTCGAGATAAATATATTTTATGATCAGAATTTTAATTTGGAACATCATTCATCAACTTTTTTGTGTTATAAATAAAGACTTTACCATTTGAGCAAGTTTTCTTCTATAAGGCGTGTCAGGGAATCCGCCATTAATACTGCCAATCGACCGGACTGAGTGTAACGATTGTCGAATCGAGTTGCGCCGCTCTAATCTTTGAACATGTCTGTGGAAAATAGAAATAAATAATTACATATTCGTAAACCAAAAAAAATATTAATTAGGTATGTACAATCTACAATAAAGGAATGATTTTTAAGGTTTCGTTCAAACAAGCCTTGTAGACTGTTTCGCTATGTCTGTTAGGTATAAATTTTATTGTAATTTGACAGTGATAATACAATCTATGAATGATTATTCTTACTTGCAGGGTCAAAACCATGTGTAAAGCGGGGTGTTGGTTGTAGATTAGCATTCAATAAGGGATGGGACGACCAATTTTGGTTTAGTCGCATAGGAGAGAATCCATTAACTAGGTATTATGGCGATATATAAAAGGAATTTATACATATAAAAAAACTTACCTGTGTTTAGACTTAGAATACCAGCAGATGAGAGCAGCTCCCACAAGCAACACGGCAGCTATTAACACGCCGATAAAGGCCACCGCTAGAGTGTCTCCACGCCAAGACATTGGATCGATCATGATCTTCGGATCTAAAAATAAAAACAAATATGGAAACATTATTTGAAGTTTTTTTACAAGAGACTAACTGCAAAAAATAGTTAAGGATTCCCATTGTTAGCAATCAGAGCCGCATATAAATATCACTTATACCACTAGCAAAGTAACAATGGCATTGACTGTCTTAAGGGAGGTAGGGATAAGCCCATACAACAAAAAGAAAAATGGATAAGTCATTAATAGCCTTCACCAGAATGGAGAGACGATACTGAACAAGTAAAAAGTGAATACACAGTTTGCTCACATAGCTATTCGAGGGCGATCGACTTGTTTCAAGCCTTAGCCGGAGCTCATAAACATGAGGAAAATGAATGCAACCGACACGTTACGAAGCCTTCGTGGCCTTCAGTTACGTGGATAATTAACCTCTTTTCTGCCGGTAAGTATATGACAAACAATAGAAAACGTGGATCTGCGCTCCAGCATACCAAGCCTATAATAAATAAATTAAATCAAACTTACCAATTTCGCAAATAAAAGCGTTCTTCTGATTACAATCAGTAATTTCGACGTTGGAGAATGCGAATGACGTACACTGGGTTACATAATCGATATGGTTGACCCAAACTCGGTCGCCATATTGGAACCATTGGTTCTGTCGGCTAATGAACTCGTATAGGGCCTCGTAGTTACCCGACACGTAAGGCATTGATGCGTTGTCCGACTGTAAACAGAAAAGTTTTTCAATATAAAAACAAACATAGTAGGTATTTTATCATACATCGCTACATAGTATAAAACAAAGTCGCTTTCTCGGTCCCTATATCCCTATGTATGCTCAAATCTTTAAAAGTACCTACTAAACAGATTGGGTCGATGGTGATGGTGGTTCGGTTTTTTAACATAAGTTAAAAAGTATAGTTTAGTATAAGTGTTTGGAGTCGAAGATTTATATAATATTAGGTATGTATTATAACATCCATTAAATTGTTGAGAAATTGGGAGTGATACAGAGGTCGAACATAAAGCTGGGCTGAAACAGCTAATGTATTGTAATTCGCCGTGCGATTGGGATTACCCTTTGTTCTTACTCCGTGGGATTACCGGAGGCCTAAACCTTCATTCACTCCCCTTCTCCTCAAATCCCCAACGCACATGGAACTCATCTGGGATTGCTGGTGTCCATGGGAGGCTCCAATTGCTTACTGTCTGTGTGTTAGACACCCCATCTTATAAAAATGTACCCCACCCCACATACGAGTAGGACAGATAATTAGTTATGGCACTTTGCCTTACACTAAATTATTCTATTTAAGTACAAAATTGAATTTTTTTAAACCGTAAATCACGACTATTGTTAGGTAATTTTTTCGACTCAGGTATCCAACTATATTAAGTATTATTTATTTATTTTAATTGAACCTTGTACTGTAAAAATTGTTATCAATTGTCCGTCAGTCTGTCTGTTAATGAAGCCACATATTATGTACGAAACATAAATGTGTGGAAATAACGAGCAAAGAACTCCATCGTTACTAGCTCCATTGATGTTTTTTTTTGTTTTGACTCAAGAATGGGGTTGAAGAAAAAACTGGTTTTATAGTTTTGGGTTCACGGCTTCTTGTGGTTGATGAAAAAACGGTTACCTGTCTATATCATGTCAAATTAAGCCTATTCAGTGTGATTCTGATTTATGTTTCGCATTTGTATTTATCAACACGTGAATCTGTGTTTGCTAGTTTTTTCATAGGACCAAATTTTTTTATGGCAAAAAAAAAAACAACAGACGGCTTAATTAATTAATTGTCGGTTATAAATACTTTTTTCTTTTTTATTGTGCATTTTTACACCCGTATTCATCTTTAAATCATTTTAATTTGTAACTTTTGAAGCTTAGAAATGCAGCAGCGAAAGGAGTCTAGATTTGATTTGAGAATTCTTTATCCATGGCATTGTTTATAAGAATAGGTATGTTTTGCCATTTAGATGTTGCTTTAACGAAAAAGTTCAACTTTCTCTATAATATTTTAGTTTTTTATTGTGCATTTTTACACCCGTATTCATCTTTAAATCATTTTAATTTGTAACTTTTGAAGCTTAGAAATGCAGCAGCGAAAGGAGTCTAGATTTGATTTGAGAATTCTTTATCCATGGCATTGTTTATAAGAATAGGTATGTTTTGCCATTTAGATGTTGCTTTAACGAAAAAGTTCAACTTTCTCTATAATATTTTACAATATTTAATTATATTATATAATTTATAATTTTTAAATAGAAATGAAAAAATAACTTACCAAACAGAACAATCTCGCCTCTTCATAAGTCATCGGCGCCCCAACATACATGTAACAGGTGCCCGCGACCGCATCCCATCCCGGAGGACACTTCCCTCCTCCAAGGACTGTCTGATTATTCATGTAGAACGGTCTGTAGTCTACTTCTAGTAAAAGAGGGTTGTCACTCTGGTCTCTTATACGACCGGCCACCGCCAATGTTTCGTTGTAACTCCAGAAGTTATGCTTCGCGTCAATCCTTGTCCGCCATAAGTCGAGAGAACTACAAAAGCAATAATAAAAATAAAAATCTTTTTTTAAATTTCAAACTTCGAATTGTGATGAATAGGTGCGCTGACAGACAGGAATGAGTGGCGACTGTGGTATTAACTATTTTCTAAGTGACAGTGTTATCTACTTAAAGTCTATTATCGTTAAACCCTAACGATACCCCCATTAGTACACAGAACAACGGCATTGAACACAAAAGAGGTGATTACGAAATTAACCCTTCAGAAATACTTAGTGTAATAACATGTGTTAATTTTAATTCTAAGTCACCGGACATAGGTCTTACACTTTTGAAGAATAGCTACATAGATTAGGATTAGTTAAAGATTGGTCAAGATGCAGTACAAATTAAACATTACTCTCTTATTCACTAAGTTGTGATACGCTATTGATATTACTGTACTTTTATTATATGTACTGTAAGTAGTACATCTTTTAAAATTTCAATCTGGGCAGCAATATTTTAAAAGAACTTTAGGAAAAATATGCTAAAGGGTGATTCTTCACATCAATTCAACAAAAAAAATGATATTATTATCCTCAACTGAAAATTAACGAGTCTGCTGATTAAAACACAGATTAAATTAAATCGCACCACTGCTTACAAGCAACCGATTAAAAATATTGTATATAATAAATTACTAAGATGCTTAACAACCTGGGAGGATAATGACTTGTTAAATAAAAGTTAAGGTTTTTCGGAGAATCACCCTAAAATTTTAGCCGGGTTGCGGGTCAAGCACAATAGCCCTAGCTTAGAGCGAAGGAACGGTGTGGTTTTTAGTCACTGACACGAGCCCTTTCGCCCCATCCAGGGTGAGAGAAGACAATTGATTATGTACTCCCTCAATAACAAGTAACATTGAGCCCACGTTTCTCATTGTCTCTGTCAATGGGAAGACGCATTGTTCATATGCACTTTGTGAGTAGCACTAATTTATTGCACTGATAATTATAACTTTTCACTTCACTAACTCAAAAGTGTGTTGCCTTTTTATATAAAAAAACTTGATGATTTTTTCCTGTGATGAGGGGTGAGTTTGCAAACATACAATTTCACGTAACAGACCCACTATTTTTAACCGACTTCAAAAAAGGAGGAGGTTCATTATTACCCAGACTCGGATCGCACAAAGAGTTGTTCCATGTAAGTCATGCACGGCAGCCGGTTGCCCAGCCACACACAGATATAATGTTCACGTGATAATGAAGTTTATTTTTATAACTTTTGTCTTAAATTTCACATTCAGATCCCTTGTTTTACTAAATAGTCAGCCCATTACCATACTATTACCAAACCAATGTTAATGAATAAAGCATGAGGTTATTTAGAAAAAGCTGTAGAGAATTGATGGATAAATATTATGTCGATAAACTTACCTCATAACGGTTGGATTATAGTCAACAAAGCTATTGTCCGGGGTAGCCATGCAACAAAAACATGCGAGGTAATTATATATCCTTGTAATAAATATTTCTATATGTATATCATGCGGGAATAATAATAATAAATAATCGAGGTATTCAATTTAATCCGGGATTGCGGATACAACAATACAAGCGTCGCGGAACCCGCCCGGGGCAGGAATAGGAACGAGTTGTTTTCATCAGTTACAGTCTGACATTCCCTCTCGCCCCATCCGAGAGAAGTATTTAATGCTCCACTCAAAAAGTTATAAAATACACTTAATTTGAATTTCAATATTCCCTTTCCCAACCCAGTTCCTGTATTAAGCAAACAAGCTTAACTTATTTTCAGATAATTAAAATTTTATTTCAGATTCTTCCTATAATTAAATGAAGTTCGTACTGTATTGAGGTTGTCTTCGAGTAAATGCCGTTTAGTTAGCGAATTAATTAAAGAGAATTTGTTTGTTGGAGAGCTGTAGGGTTGGTTTGTTTGAACGCGCTAATCTCCGAAACTACTGGTTCGAATTGAACAATTATTTTTGTGTTTGTTAGTCCATTTATCGAGGAAAGCTATAAAACATGGCTACTAAAATCGCGCTACGATCTGTAGTGAACATTAAATCCGACGAGATTTACATCATACTTACTATAATAAAATGCCATCAGACAGGCAACCAACGTATATTCTTATAAAGGAACATAATATCCTGCAAAATATTCTTAAAATATCCTTTATCTGCTAAACAAAATTACTAGCAAATCTAAACCCTGTGTGAATGCGTTTAAGATATACTGGAAAAAATGGTGTAAGAAGTTATTAATCACAATTGAAAACCAAGGGTGTCTTGATTAGTACTTACATGGATCTATTGACAGTGATCATTTCGTAATCATTGTCAGGGTTGAAGAAGATGTTGTCTACGTAGTTCTGGCCAGCTGTTCCTGCTACCACAGTCGCTCTACCTTCACGGTCGGTTGCGTAATTTCTAGAAGAATTAAATAGAAAATGGTATAAGCCAAGTCAAGCCAAAAATAATTTATTCCAATTAGACCCTTACAGGCACTTTTGAACGTCAAACTAAATTTTGAAGATAGTGTCAGTCTGTCGATCAGTCCTCTTAGTGAAGCTAATCTAAATTATTTATGTATTTTTCTGAGACATCAACATGAGCTCAGTTTAGGCAAGCACTTTTTAGGCAAGAACGAAGAAAGCACAGAGACAGTTGACTAGTGGAACAACAAGATTGGATGTTATATAAGAAAAGTTTTCCGTTCCTTTGTTACTGGTCATCAAGGAGTGTTTTATTGTACGGAGGATTCTTAAGAACTATTCTGTAGCTTATGGGCTTACAATCCAGTAGATATAATATCGAATCCTCTTTTATAACGTTATCAGTTTTAGGCTAGATAGACTAAGGGATAGTTTCCAAGTAGCAAGTTCTTTTTCGGGTATGCCAAAAAAAATGTCAATTTTCTATGTATTTTGTATGAAATACTTAAGTAGCGCATTCTTATTGCTATTGAATTATTATAAAACAAATGGGTGAAAGTCCGTTTTTCTTTTATAAATTGAAATAAATTCTCGCTGGTAGCTCGCTGATACTACACAAACCACTAAAATAACAATAAAAGGAACAACTTACTTATAAAATCCATTATGTGAAGTAGTTTGGTAGATAGGCAACCTGACTTTATCGAAGCCAGACACCTCGAGGATCCTCATGCCAGTATTATCGTGGACATAGTTGTATGTGAAGTTTGAGACGACTTGTCGAAGGATGATGACGTCACTGAATGGCACTCGGTTGCGAGTGAAGTAGTTACGGTATATCGTCACCTCTTGGTATGGGGATGATTGGCGCCCTGAAATTATAGGACAATCGGTTTATGAGGTTGGTAGCGATCTGAGAGTTTTTTTTTATTACCTGATGGTAATCAATCAATGCCGCCCATGGACACTCGAAACAACGGAGGAGTTACGAGACCTTTTTGGGTTTAAGGATTGGGGAGGGGAAAGATTGGGCCTCGGGTAACCTCACTCACACAGCGAAACACAACGCTGTAGTTGTTTCAAGGCGCAAAACCGACGGACCACCTCCCCAAAGGTCAAAAACTGCAATCCTTTTTACTAAGTGCACTGTTTCTTTATCTGCATGCCACCGGTTCCTAATGAACGGTGATTGTCACAGTTGGAATATAGATAAATTATGTATGTACTTGTTGTCGGTATGGCAACAAATATTAGAAAATAAATACTATAAGTCCTCTCCTCTCACCTAACTACTAGGCGATTTAGTTACGGCATCCTTCGTGCGCGAGTAAGATTCGCATTTGGCCGGTTTAATACTAAAGAAACCTTACTCCAAAGGGTTAAAATTTTAAGGACTACATACATTAACCAGTGGTATGCCGTATGTGCGCGGATATACACGAACCATAATTTTTGTTTTCTATTGTGTTGTATAAACCGGCAGACAAGAGGTTAAGAAAGGTTACTCGATTTTTTTCATTTGTTCTATATACCAAAGTATCTATTGGAACAACTGTTAGTTTTAAAAGACTTTTATTATCAAAAACGTAGGCATCTGAATGAAAATCTTATAAACTTTAACGTACCTTCAACTTTAAGACAGGGGAGGTCGTGGTTAGCGAAGAACAGGTTGTTGTGTATCCACCCACGGAGTGATGTGGCTGATCCACGAGAATCAGCACGGACTAGCAATCCTCCTACGTTGTTGCGGACCAAGTTATTCTGGAATGAAATGAATTATTATTAAGTCCAAGAAAAATTTTTGTCGCTAATGAACAGATCATTTGTATGTTTTTCTTAAGGTATGGGTCGGTAAACGAGCTGACAAATTAGTCGATGGTAAGCTATCGGTGCAGCCCATTCATGTGTAAGTTTATCAAATCAAAATCATTTATTCCAACTAAACAATAAATAGGTACTTCTGAAACGTCAAAATAGAATAGTAGTCTGTCAGTCTGTTCGTCAGTGAAGCTAGGTGCTCGTTCCAAATTGTAGTTTCGAATGGAGAAGAACGAGCAAGAAACGCCATCGTTACTCTTTTTTTTTAAAAAAATTGTTTTACAATTCACCAATAATACATTTTTTATACATTACTGTACCCCTATGTGAGAACAATGCAGAGACAAATATAGACTATGAAGCGTCCTGTTAAGATACTCAGAATAAAATATGTTTATTCAATGAGCACCTCTAGTATAGTTATTATTAGATAACAATTTGTTTCTACTATGATACTATGTTCTATGATGCATCTGGGATGCCTTAGAGGTAGAAACTATTGCAAAAACAGCATCATCATCATCAGTCTTGCCAGCCCTTATAAGTGGGCTAGGCAAACACCTCTTCTCACACAGACAAGGTTAGAGCATTAATCAGCCCGCTCGCCAAAGGCTGATTAACGTATGCACACTTATAATTATAAATTATATGTCCAGGTTTCCTCCCGATGCATTCCTTCACCATTAGCAAAAATAACACTTGGACAGTATTGTATACATCATTCTCCTTACCCTAAACACAAGAGTCTGTGTGTTCTGCACATCAACTCTAACAGCAGCAGGGCAAGAAGTGAAGTTTCCATACAGTTTCAGGCAGTTGTTCAAGATCTCATTCCTTGTGATCGCTACTAAAGGATTCACTTCGCCTACAGACTGGTACGTGATGGCCCCATCTCTGTTCTTTATGAATTCACTGTTCGATATGTTATGCTGGACATCACGATCTGGAAACGGAGAAATATTAGTCAAATTATGTGGAACCAATAGTATTTTGGAGACGAAGATGGAACAATAACTGACGATGTTGGAAAAAAGAAGTAGGTAATGTGCCAAACATAAGTAACATGTAACTGAAAAGTAGAAATTAAAGAATGTAAGTGCCTAATTTCTTTGAGTGAAAGATGATCAACAAAATATTTAAATATACTTACTGAATCCAATAGCTGATATTGGCAACGTAACAATCTCTGCAATAAATCCATGAACAGCAGACGCTCCATTCGCAAACAACGACACACTCAAGCTGGCACCCTCAGTTTTGAAGAGCTTCTTTTCATCTGGCGATCCATTCTCCAAGTAACCAATCATAGGTGCCGTGATATTGTAAATATCACCGTCATACAACGACAGAGAATCCCTTTTACCATAATTCTGAGTGTGGTTGAATAGATTGAATTGGAGCAACCTAAATCCGAAGGGTTTTACTCTGAACATGCTCTTGAATATCTTTACACAGTTGACAGGATTGTTGTCGTATTTGTAGTACAACAGTACTCTTTCTTCAACGGTCACCATTTTAGTACTATCACAAATGTCGATAAGAGAAAAGAGGTGATAAGGAAGGTTCAAATCCTTTAGTGGTGTGAAACTAGATTCATCAGACTCTCGACCTTCTCCGTTCAACGATATGGCACTAACACCTTCTCCCAATATATCATTCACGGTATTAAACATCATATTAATCGAATCGGTGGGCGATATTAAATTAATGCCGTGATGAGCGCATTTCGTTATATTTACATTTCGTATACTTGGATTCTTTATAATACTTTGTATAGCAGGAGATTTCTCATTGTGCAGTATACCGGCACCAATTATGTGCAAGTGAATCAATTCGCTTTCAGATTTCTTCATAGTCTCATGAGTGTGATGGTTGTGAATGCGATGCTCATACAGAGAATATTCGAATTCAGGATTCGCAAATCTTATGCCTCCCCAGTAATCGAGGTTCTCTTCTAGATTTCTTGTGCCACAATGAATGAATACGAATTCTGAATCCCATTTACATTCATGTCTATGTCCGTAAAGTTGGCCATTCAGTCTTATTGGGCAATCATCGTAACGGTCTTCAGTTCCTACACACTGTAGAGGTTCTGGCCAAGACCAAATCCGTGACAAAGAATTACTATGGTACTCCACACGACGGTCGTGAGCGAAGAACACGTTGATAGGATCGAAACCCAACTCTCGGCACACAACTTGCGCGTTTCTCTCGGTAAAACGATTATCACACATTGGCACCCATTGCAAAGTCGTTTTGTTGTAATACTCAAGAAATCCTTCGTTTGTTCTTTCGGCTGTATTATCGGTGATGGAGCAATTTCTTCCTGTACATAGTCTTATTGAATTAGGTACAGTCAATGACTCCAGTTGTCGTCTTTGTTTATGATGGTCTGATGAATACTGGCCAACATCTCTCTTTTCTATTCTGTTTACTTCCACATTGCCTCCACGAGTTAAAGGTCTCATTATAATTGGCGCTTGACTGTGACCTATAGCTTGAAGGTTGCCCATGACGAGGATCCCAACATTGGGTGCAAATTCCATTATAACACCGGGACTTATAGTTAGAATAGCATCAGGCATAACTGTTATGTCAGCCTTCACAATATATGGAGCCATGCGAGATTCGATAGTATAGTTAGTTAGTAGACGACCTCCAAGCTCATTTGAATCTACGATGATTTCTGGACTAAATGAAGCTGAGACACTGGAGTCCATACTATCTTCAAGCAAATATGGTAGGTATGTGGCAATAGCGTGATTATTCCAATCATCAAAATCGAATATCTGTTCTCTGATTACTTTTTCTTCAGTACTACCCCACCAGTTTTCAGTGACATCTAATAAATTATTAATCTTTGCAGTCTTAATGCCAGCTACCAATGTGTACTCTAGTGCATTGTTCCCAAACAGATTTCTACTGACTTTTACTTTCTGTATTCCCTTAAAGCCTATAACGTATGTTGGTTCAACATTTCTTATTAAAGCGCCTCTATTAATCTGTGTAAGTAGGTGTCTATTGTTTTTTACTTGGTTGTAAATGAATAGAGCGTACACTAAGCCCATAATCTCGCTTTGACTGTCCATGTGGAATTTCACCATGAACTGTCCACTGTTCCTTTCAATAAAATTACCGTCAATCATCATTTTCTTTTCCATGCCTTGTATAGCGATCAAACCAGTTTTGCACATGTTGTCTGTGAAAATGTTCTTCGTTATATTGACCTCAGCGAAATGACCGTCAACAATCAAAGCAAAGTTTTGATTGCTTCTCCATGTGTTGTTGTTCATGTAAACTGAGTGGGTGAAGTTTTCATTATACTGCCAAACATATGGCAGGCTTACATCAAAACCACCCTGTTTATTCCTTTCAATTGTATTGTCTTGTAAAACATAATGATATAAATTATTTGAACTTCTCAAATCTCTCGCGAAGTGATATATTCCTCTGCCATTATCGGTGATCAAACTGCTGTTGACCATTATAGTTATCTCGGTAATATTACTTTCGTGTATATCCCAGAAAGGTGTATTTACGTAGATAGCTTCTTCTTTGTTATAAGCAATTTCACAGTTAAATATTTTAATAGTTTCGTTAGCTTTTCGTAAAAAGTGGTCACCCAGCTCATTAAGATAACGGTTGTAGTACAATGCTTTAACGCCTTTAGTGTTTCCTTTTATCTTAGAATTAACTACTTGCAGGGTCGGCACAGGTCCTCTGACTATCCTGTTTCTTAGGTTTTGGACCGGAGCTATAATCGTGCTTACAACTAGCACGACTCCACCTAAGGCATTCGTTCCGCTTTCATACGTTATGACAACACCAAAGCTGCTACTGGTTGTTGGGAACGTAGACAGATCACGATCTAGACACCATTTCGTACTACCCTCATTAATGTTTTGCGAATCGTATATGCAAATACTTTCTGTTGAAAAATTGTGTATAGGGTTAAGAAGTTGTAGCCCCAGAACGTAACCTGGATTGCATTTGATATTGTACGTTTTAGAAACACTTTCTCCATTACGCTTTGTGAAAACTATATGTCTGGTTTCTCCGTTAATCAAGCTTATGTCAGTTTCATACTCTGGAATCATGATTGGATGATAATTAGATTCGTCCATGTTGAATCCAGGATCTAAATTAAACCAGCCAGCTATTTCTCTTTGTTGAGGACCGGGAATATGGGGATTATGTGAGATGCCTGCTAGGTTGTTATTTTCAATGACTGAACCATACACTTTCAGACCAAGTTGTTTGAAACTTATACCGCTCCCTCTGTTGTTACTAAACTCTGAGTTACGGACGGTATTGACTGCATCAGCTCCGTATAAATCTGAATAAAGTATTCCCAAACCATCGTGGTAATTGTTGGTTACTTTAATGCTTTCCAAGCTATGTCGTGCAAAATCTATCTGAAGAGCAGGTTTAAAAATATTAGACGAATAATCTAAAAGCCCAGCTTTTTCTATAGTCACGTATTGTAAATCTGCTCTTTCAGATATGACACTGAATCTTACTCCAGCCCAACTTGTTTCATAGCACCGAATTCCAACGTCATTATCGTGCGTGCAAGAATTTTCAAAGTTCTCTTTAGTTTCTGCCTTACATTTAGTTATATCGTTATCGAATTCGGAACATTCTACATTGGATAGAAGTATGTCTTCTGTCATACCTGCAGATGGAATCTCGTTAGGTTCTAGGAACCAATCATCTGGATTCAGGGCGAGGCCAAGTTGATTGCATACTAAGGCTGCATTAATTATGTTCCATCTATAGTTGCACACTGTTCCCCATTTATCATCAATCCTGACTTGGAGCCTACCTTCGTGTTGTGTTCTTCCCCCTAATAGTCTTATGGGCACAATAGGCTCAGTATAACCTGGCGTGGTTGGCTCAAAATCTGTTTCATAAACGCTTTCATTAGTCATAACTACTTCCTCTTTTAAAGTAAAAGTTATATCATTAGGCCGTTTACCTCTTGCGTCTAGTTTTCCTGCAACCATAATTCCTATGGCTGGGGGGAATTTCAACGTTACGCCAGATTGTAGAACCAGTTTTCCTCCAGGGCGAATATTGATATCTTTATCTACATCGTACTCTCCCTGGCGAAGAATTTCTATTCCTTCAACTTCACCGCCAACAACGAAAGTGCCAGGCACATTAAATTGAGGTACATAGAGTGAGTTGTAATTTATCTGAGTTGCTCCAGGGTTACTACTGTGTAATAAATACGGCATGTAAATTATCTTGGCTAAATTGTATCGATCTTTTCTATGGAACAATCTATTATAAACCTTTTCTTCTTCACCAAATCCAAGCCAGTTGTAAGTACAGTTCAATATTTTACTTTGGTCTTCGACGTGCGATCCAATTTCGTATTGGGCCTCTGGGTTGTTTATAATATTTCTATAAACGTCTATGTTGCTGGATGCTAATACAATCGTAGCTGCAACTCTACTTCTTGGGGTCAATCTTGATGATATACCTTCTAGGGGTTCAAATGGTTCTCTCACTTTATTATCTCGAAGGAAGTTCCTCGAAAATATAATGTATTGTATATCACTGTATGGAGACAATCCAAGATTAACTACGAATGGGCCCTTATTCCCAAAGAAGTAGTTATGTTGTATATCAAACCGTGATGGTAGTATTTCAAATTCTTCTAGATATTTCCCTTCTACTCTATTCAATATAACAATTGCTCCATAATTACCGTGTTCGAAATAATTGTATTCAATCTTCCCGTTTATGTTGAGAGCCGGTTGGATTTTAAGAGGTACTTTTTGGTTTTCATAAAATCTGTTATGACCTACTTGTAAATTGAGCAATCTGGTTGGGTTATTAAATCTCCAACATGTGGATATTTCTATAGTACTTTCAGCACTGGTATTAAACCAGTTTCCAGTAATATTAACCCAACTGTCTCCACAAAAGTTTCCATGTAAAATTCCTACGTCTAGATTTTTAAATATTTCTGAATATTCTACAGCTGTGGTTTGGTTAACTGGAATGTATTCGGTTTCATGAGTATTATTTATCCACACAGCTATACCATAACCCTGATTAGAACTTAATATACTTCTTGATATGTTCCTGTTTCCACCAGTTACAGTGATGTTTATTCCATCACCTTGATTGAAAGATATTCTACTCTCAGTTACATTTACATCGCCAGCTCCACTCACAACTTGAAGACCAGCTACGTGATTATTGTTAGATATAGAAGTGCGATGTATATGAATTTGTGATCTTAAGTTTTCGATTGCCACGCCTCTACCATTGTTATCGGAAATAATAGTGTCAGTAACATTTAAATCATACGTTTTACTAATACCCGATGTCAACCTTAAAAACCCTGTAATATCTGTCCTCGTATTCGCTCGGAATCTCACGTACATGCGGTTCCTGGTTGATGTAACACTTTGCGGTCGAGTGTGATTCCGAATACTGAATGACAATAAAAGTTTATCTTCGGTCGTTAATCCGTCATATATAAATAATTCGCCTGTATTGTTATGGTTGGTTAAAAGTTTAATAAAACTTAAGGTTAAAACGTGATCTGGTCGCGTGTAAAATTTCTGATGGCAGTCTCTCTCCATATTAGAATATCTTGATTGTTCAATTGACATTTGAATAGGAAATGTCTGGCTCGGTGTGGATGCTAGTGTACATAAATCAAAAATTTCGCTTCTGTCTAGTCTTTCATCGATGTTAATTTCGTGCACCACGTATTTGACCCCATCGCCGCCATTGTCGTGAATCAAGCAATTCTCAATCTTTGTCATGCCATACGTAGAGTTCACATAAACACCATACCCTCTATTGTTCTGAATCGTGCAATTGTTTATGACTATGGGAGCGTTAGGCGACGTCACATTTATGGCGTTGAATGCCGAATTAGATATTTCTATATCTTCTAATACAGGTGGGACTCCAATAACATCTAAGGCACTTGTTGCATTGTTACCTCTGCCTAAACCTGCATTTTTAATAGTAACATGCATTAATTTGGACATTGATGTAGGAACGTATAGAGTATTTGCAGCGGTGAGAATTCGCTCAAAGACTGCGTTTTCAAATCGTATGCCTCTCCAATGTCTCCTCGAATTTGCTAGATCGTTAACATCATGATGAGGTGAGCATTGAATGGCTAAATCAGGGTGGTAGTCACAGACACCTGAACCAAGTTCTCTAGAGTTCCAGTCACATTGAAATAGATCATATTCAGTTCCTTTGCACTTAGGCTCTTCGAATAACAGTCTTGCTCTCCTACCGGGCTGGCGATCCATCCAGTTGTAGAAGGATCCTCCCATGAAGCCTAATTGTCTACAGGCAGTCTCCATGTCGTTTACGGTCCAACTAAAATGTAAAAATGATTTTATTAATATTAATTGCACCAACCAAATAACAACTAAACCAACAAAGTAGTACTAAATGTTAGGGATACCTAGAAAGGTATCTGAGAAATTCCTTACTTTCTGGAATTGGTGCAAACTGATCTCCATTGTCCTCGATGTAAGAGTTGAACTCTTCCCACCAAGATGGACGGACCGTCGACTAAACGGATATCTGGTATGGGCCTCGTAGGCCTATCAGGCTCTTCTGTGCTTGTGAATGTTATTCCTTTTTCATGGTGACCCTGAAATTTAAAGAGAGTAATTTTACTTCAAGCATTGAATATATAAAAGAAAGTGAAAGAAATATCCATTTTTTTTTGCCTGGCGTAATCGTTACGCTTTGATGCCATTTAGTGAAAAGAACATAGGTAACTTAGTATTCATAACAGAAAGTTATACAATGTCATAACGTAGGTCTTAATACTTATTTAGAAACTTTTTATTCGTGTATTAAATCTTACCAAACCAAACAACTGACTACCTTAAACTTTTAGGTGGGTAGCTAGCCTAACAAGGATTGAAGATGACATTGAAATAGCATCTCAAAGTGAAAGTCAGGTGTGCAGTTACCTATGTGCAAAACATAATGATCGTATTGTGTCATTGTGCAATTCACAAGGCATCGATTAGAGAGTCGACCAAGCACTAAGCGCACAAGGGGTGATCTGAGAAGAATGGACGGATGTGTTTACCGCAATATGCAAAATAATTGTTCTAACTTGTGAGATGGTGGAGGGGACAAGAGCTAAATTATTTACTGTAAGATTTAAAACGTCTTTTACTACAAAACAATACATAAATTGCCCTAAATTTGTTCCTCATTACATTAAAATTACAATACCTTGTAGAGAAAATTGTATATTTAAAAAATTCACTTTCATTAAATAAAGATGTGGCTTTAGTCCTCTTAGCGGTATTATTAGTTAACATTTTTGAGTCTTTTGATAAACAAATTCACCTTTGCATACTTTTATACATATGTTTAGGGTACAGCATTTTGTCTATCAAACATCCTGTGTGAGGAATATCACTCGCTGTCTAAATAGAAAAAAAAATGTTATCTCTTTCAAACGGAACTTGCCGGAGCAGTGTGGGCGATGACGATAGCTCTTTTTTGTTTTTTTGTATAAGTTGCATTGCAAATAATATAATTTAATTTCAAAATAAAATATACCTACTCGAACTTTTTTTCAGGGAAAACATTTAAATGTAACACTCGTAGTTATAACTTTAATTGCTTAACCAACAACTTTTTATCACACCACTGTGGTTTGAAGAATAACAAATTAATCATAAATAGGCTAGTGTAGGCTAGTGTATAAATGTATAAATAAATTTTATTTACTATGACTATCAAACAATGGTCATCGACACCGAAGCGGTCACATGACATCATACAAATCATACAATGCGCTCGCGCACGGCCCGCGCCGTACGTGCACGCACGATGCGCCCTTGCACTTCGTCGGTATGGCTTCCTGCCTTTTCACACTACCCCATTCATGCAGTCACGATCTACTGGCCAACTGTTACTTAACCGTCGCTAAACTGGAATGCTCATGATGTAATTCCGATTAGGGGAACCTCTGACAACAGAATAGCTGTATAACTGACACATAAAATGAGGTTTATAAAACGCATGCGAAAACGACTCGACAATGTTCAATGCGCCACTCGCTGTTTCAATGAGTAGAAAGTTTGAGTGATATTTTCCTGTCGAATGTAGACCTCTTATGCCAAATTTCGGTCTAGCGTTCTAGTCGTTGGTGTAATAGGTAGGCGTTAGGTTAAGGCCTTTCGCAATAACTGTCTGAAGTCCAAGCTGAGTTGTATAACTTCTGTTTCAAAATATAAACGACACAAAATGTAAGATGTTATAACTTTTGTTACGTTACGTACGAATGACAGGCAAGAAATAGTTAAGACGAATTTCTTGAGACTTTATATTTATTTACTACTTTTAGGGTCAACAAAAAGAAATGCATAAAAAGAATAGTCGCGTGACCACGTTAAATAGACACAATACCCAAAAGGCTTTTTTATTCCGTACACGTCATCCGAACAATTTTAAGGCAGGTCAGACGTCCGTTAAATTGTTACGCCCGGCTAACTATCTGCTACGAGCGATAAAAAACCCACATAGGATCGAAGACCGGTAAAGAAACCAAAGGACGAGGCAAGGACACCGGTTTGATGTGAGTCAGCAATAAAGCATCTGAGTCATTATTGTTTCTTTTACTTTTTTTTATTAAATTTCTCTGGTTTTACATACGATTAGCCCCGTCAGAGGTTAAAGTGAATGTTGTTTTTTTTTTAATAATGTGACCTATATATGGTCCTAAACATTTTTCAACTGCTTAACTATATTACAACAGGGACTAATACAATGGCTTCTATATCCACGTGCCTAGTTAGAACATTCTACATGAATCGCTACTTTTACTATGCCTACACTTTTTTTAGTATTTAAATATTACGTAAGACTTTGGCATTGGCATTTAATATGAGCTGAGCCGCTGTGGGTTGTGTCTTTGGAAATGTCCGTTTAAGTACCTACTGTTTTTGAAAGGCGAGACTACCGTTCAAATTACTAATATGTTGCCTGAATTACTGATATTATCGAACAGCGTTGTAAATCATAGTGAGGTCGAATCAGTTATTTATTTATTGAATGAATGAATATAATATGAAGATAGTCTGGAGGCTCAATAAAATCTGTTTGTTTAGGCCACAGACATTTAGGTATATGTTATTTAGTATATTGTTGGATGTGTAGAATATAACTGAAATATTGATCACTCTTATGTAATTTCTAAACTAATAACCACAAAATCAAAGATATATTATGCTTACTGAAAAATAGTTAGATAATCAGGAATACAGAAAATCTAACCGACTAACAGAACGAGACAGATACATTATGACAAGTGTAAGATTACAACAAGTTACTTCTAGCCACTATGTACAACTCGACCAATTTGTAAGAGATATAAAATTTTGGACAAATTTTAGATGAAGCTTTCCCCTTCCCGGACGCTTCCCCAATCCCTAAATCTCCAAATCCCTAATCCCTAAAATGTCGGCAACGCACTTGTAACTCCTCAAGTGCGTGTGTGCGCTGATTGCTTACCATCAGGTAATCCGTCTGATCGTTTGCCGACTTATTACATAAAAAAAAAGATTTTTTATTGAGATTGAACGGTAAGTCAAATAATTTTAGATAGAGGATAAGGTGCAAGACATATCTAATAGTTTGCCTCAAATACAGTATCAAATTCTCAAAAAGACCTCCAATGACCTAGATTTAAACATTCTTCAAAGAAAACCGATAGAGAATCTCATATTACCAATACTCTTTCACATTCAAGTTCAGTGTCAAGCTCTTTCGCAATAAGAAGGTCAAAGTCGAAGACGAAGCCACACGAGACGTTACATAAAGTTTTCTATTAGATAATAAGTAATGATATACAGCCAATTGGATGGCGTTTTTAGGGCAACGAATGTTTGACATTCGTATTATTTGCTCTGTTATAATTACCAATTAGGTAATACAGTTGCGTGTTTTATTTTAATAAATTTTAAAGGTACTCTAATTGGTTGTTTGTATTACAGAAACAGAGGAATTCAGTTAATAACTATCAAATTATATTGTACTGATGACAAGTATAAGTATAAATATCGTGCATTCGCCTATTAAAAAGTGCCAAGACTTGGTAGATAGTTTCACAGGGATAGGTACTTAACAGTATCTATATAAGGTATTTTAAACGTTATATTATATTTCTAACAGGTGAACATTGAAGGCAAAATTCCAATCCTTGTGGCCGCGACTTCCTGTGTAGACCGCGCGTCGCATGGAATCACAAATTAGGCCCTGACTATAGTAGGGAGACACGTTGAATTAAACGTATTGTTTTATTAGTACGAAATATCAATAAATGCATAAGATGACCATAAAACCTATATTGTGTAGGAACTAACTTGTGTAATCCAATTATACGATCTTCCAGAGTATAAAGTGATGGAAAAGTTAAAATGATACAGAAAGAAAAAATAATTTGGACTTTTATCGATCTTTAAAATCCGTTTTAACCTAACACTTACAAGGAAAAATTAATATGTGGACCAGTAAGACATGAATAACAATATGACACCAATGTAAATTCACGCCATCTACACTCACAAATGGTCATAGATTTGCTTCAGTGTCTATTAACATGAACTACCGACCTAGAAGTACAGTCATAATTATATCCGGGCCAGTTATAAACTCTAACTTAACCTGTACAACACCCAGTTAATTACAATTAAAGAGCTTACAAATTCTACCATCGTGTGTGCCTGTACTAGCGGCCCGTGCTTCCGCCGATTTCTCCGTGTTCCATGTCTTACCATGGATCGTGCTTGTTATCCGCCAAGTAATTTATACAACTGCTATTTATGTTGCTCTGGATTCCCATGGATCGGTCACGCTGGCTGGTTTAAAACTACGCTCTATTAATAGTAAGATAGCCATCTTTGTGCTTAATCAAAACAAACATTAGGGTTATTTTGCAGGTTTTATTAAGGTTTCCTTTTAATTCAAACTACTGTTGCTCGATGTCTCGAATTGGACAGAAAACAAACCAAAATACTTAGTAAGATCTGGCTTTTACGAAGTAATTACCATTTCGCGTTACCTGGTTACTTAATTGGCACGAGTATCTCTCAGAAAAAATTATAATAAGTGGAACATTGTATGCTACAGTTTACTTGTGTATGAAAACCACGTTACATGTTAGTTAGTTAGTTTTGTTAACAAAAACCATGTTAATCAGATGACGAGTACGTGCCATTATAACAATTTTTAATATTTTGTTTCAGAGCTACAGGAAACAATTTACTTAGTTAAAACAATGAAAATCACCATTATTATTATGTAGAACGGACCGTCGTCCTAGTTGCAGCATCATTGTTTATTCATTATGGTGCAAAAAGTAACTGTATTTCTGTTAAATCTGCGATCTGTGAAGATGGGAACATTGGCGAGAGTGCCAAGGTCAGTAAAAATTGGTCAAAAAATGTAATGTCCGACTAAATCTACATGTTAACATCTAGATAAATTAAGCATTCAGCCCAATTAGTATATTTCTTTCACCGTGAAATTCTCTCGTTGTACTTTTAGTATTGCCTTCTATTGCCCACATTCCTAATAACTACATCAATACAGTTATGACCTCCACAGTTCATTGTTCTCTGTACA